TGGATACTGTGTATCACTGTACAGGTATTAATACATTATATCAGACAAAATTATAAATATCTGCATGCAAATGACAAGAGAAAGAACCAGAGAGTTAAGCACACAGTAGATCATGAAGGACTTTGTAAATTAGGTCTGGCTCTTGTGTTTCTCTAAACATATCATTTCAATCCAACTGCAGACATGACACAGATTACGTGGATACTAAACCACCTGCTGCACTCATTAAGCTTCTGAAATTCTTGCTTATCCTGCTTCTGCATGAAATGCCTTTACTCACCTGGGGAAAAGCTACTAATTTGCTAAGAGTCAGCCTAAGTGTTACCACCTCTGTGAACACTCCTCAGCCCCAAACCTATGGCCACTCCCACCTTGGTGTCCCGATTCTATCTTGTACAGACTATTTTCATTGCATTTATTTACTTTATTGTGCTCATGCACATATATGACGCCTTACTCTAGTCTCTGGGCTCTTCGAAGGCATGGATTGTGTCTTATTTGTTTATCTTTGGATGCTCAACATGGTGAGCACTCAATAAATGTTTTCAGACTATTGCATGAGTGAAAACTTGATCTTCCAATGGACACTAACAGAAATATGACTCCCCTACATTGGTGGGAGACCACAGACAGTTTGGACTATCATTTACTTAAAGCTGAGGCTATGCCAAAATTGAAGGGTATAACAACCACCACCATCACGTAATGGCTGCTCATTCTGTGCCAGTCACTGTTCTAAGTGCTTGACATGAATTAGTCAATTTACTCCTCCCAACAGTCCTACTGTGAGTCCAGGGAGGGGTGAAGAGGCTGAGGCTGGTCACCTGGAGAGGAGGGCCCAAATGGACAGGTGAAATGAGGAGAAGATCTGGAGAGGTGTCATGAGCCAGAATATAAAGGCAGAGGGGCTGAAGAGCCGGGTTCTTTAGGAATATGGTTTGGACTGTTGACTGGGGTTAGGTTTTTACTGCCTATTGCAATATGGAATCATAAGACACAATCAATACACAAAATGGGTAGGATTTTTTCATCACACGGGAGCAAATGTATCATTGCTAAAATGAGAAGTAATACTCTAAAACTTATCAAGAAAATAATTCAAAATGCCTTATGTTGTTTCTGGTTCCATAGAAGATGGAGTAAGCACATCTTCTGGCTAATTACAACCAAACTGCTGTGCAAAACATATTAAGTGGGCCACCCTGGTGACCTAGTGCTTAGATTCAGGGTGCTCCACTTTGATGGCCTGGGTTCAGTTCCCGGGCGTGGACCTACATCACTCGTCTCAGTGGCCATGCTGTGGCAGCAGCTCACATACAAAAAGAGGAAAAATGGCAACAGATGTTAGCTCAGGGCGAATCTTCCTCAGAAAAAAAAAAAGAAAGAAAAGAAAAAAAACCATGAAGCAACTATCAAAAAACCTCTTGAAAGGTGGAGAAAGAAAGGCAGCTTGGCTAGGGGCCCTGGGACTGGAGGGATGATGCAGTGGTGAGTTCTCTGGATTAAAAAAAAAAAAAGGCCCAAGAAAACATATTGACTGCCTGCTAAAATAGAAAATTTACATAGGAACAAGAGACTTATAACATAATACTCAAAATGTCCAGAATAAATAAAAGACTATTCCTCATGCTAAGAACCAGGAAAAACAACTCAAATGAGAAAAGACAATGGATGCCAACACTGAGGTGACAAAGATGTTGGAATTATTGAACAGGATTTTAGAGCAGCTATCAGTAAATGTTCCAAGAAATAATTATGAACACTCTTGAAACAAAGTGAAAAACAGTCTCATCAAATAAAAAGAAGATATAAAGACCCAAATGGAAATTTCAGAACTAAAAATTACAATAAGTAAAAAACTCACTGGATGGGCTCAATAGCAGAATGGAAATTTAACAAAGGGAAGAATCAATGACCCTGAAGATATATCAGTAGAAATTATCCAATCTGAACAACAGAGACAAAACAGAAAAAAATGAACAAGTGCCTATAGGACAATAACAAAAGATCTAATGTTCATGTTACTGGAGTCCCAGAAGCAGCGGAAAAAGAGTGTGGTACACAAAATATATTTGAAGAAATAATGGCTGAAAACTTCCCAAACTTGGCAAAAGACATAAATTTATCAATTCAAGAATCTGAGCAAACTCTAAAAGAATAAACCCAAATAAATCAACACCCAGATGCAGCATAATCAAATGTCTGAAAATTAAAGATAAAGAAAAACTCTTTAAAGCAGCTGGAGAACAAGTATTACCTACAGGGGAAGAACAGTTTGAATGACTATAGATTTCTCATCAGAAACCAGGGAGGAGAGAAGGAAGCAGCAAAACATTGTTAAAGTGCTGAAAGAAAAGAACTCACAATCCGTAATTCTATATCCAATGAAAATATCTTTTAGAAATGAAGGCGAAATAAAGACATTATGAGATGAAGGAAAATGAAGTTATTTGCCACTATCAAACCTGCTCTAAAAGAAGTAATAAAGGAAAAGCTCTTCAAATAAAAGGAAATGACAGAAACTTGAAACATCAGGAATGGAGAAAAAGTAATTTTTGGGGTAAATATAACCTTCTCTTGAATTTTTAAAGTTATGTTTGATGGATGAAAGAAAAATTATAACACTGCTCATGTGGTTCTTAATGTATGTAGAGGTAATATTTAAAACGACAGTATCATAAAGGAGGGAAAAAGCACCTAAAGGTAGGGAAGATTCTACATTCCACTTGAACTGGTAAAAGGCTGATACTAGTAAACTATGATAAGTATGTATAATATAATCTCTAGAATAAACACTAAAAACCTATACAAAGAGAGAGAGATTAAAAAACTATAGCTATTTTAAAATGGCACACTAAAAAATGTTCAAGTATCCCATAAGAGGACAAGAAAAGGGAAACAGAGGTACAAAAAAACAGAGAGAACAAATATAAAATAAGTAAAATGGCAGGCTTAGATCCTAACCAATCAAAAAAATACATTAAATGTAAACCGTCTAAACACAACAATTAAAAAAACATGACTCAAGAGAGATGTCACACAAAATGGCAGAGAAGGAAGTTCTAGGGGTTGTCTCTTCACTGAACCAACCATGAAGCTGGGAAGAGTGAATGGAATCAACTATTTGGAACTCTGGAACATGACCAGAAACTTTTAACAACCAGAGGAATCCTTATAACAATGAAGGGAGAGGTTGCTGATCTTTCACAAGTAAGCAGCATGTGCAAACCCGCCACCATCCCCCATCCCTCAGACGTGCTTCAGCTGTATAGATAGCAGCCTGCGTTTCTGAAAAAGCTGGCTGATGCCAGGGCAGGCAGTGGGAACCTTGTCCTCCCAAAATTTGGGGTTGTGCATTTTGGTCTGATGGATCCCTGAGGGTCAGCACAGATGCTTGCCTTGGATTTGATCCTCTCAGCAGCACCGGCTTGCCCCAGGGGCATCGATCAGATTTAAAGAGACAGAATCCCCTTCCCCTGCCTCCCTATTTAGAATCAGATAGCTATGACAAGTCACCGACTACAGAGAAAATGGAACAGAAACTTCAGTGACCATAGAAAAACAAGGAATACACACTTGGCAAAAATAGTTTGGAAAAGTAACAGCCCCAGCCCTCAACAAGCAAAAATTAGCAATCCCTGATGACTAAGAGAATCACATTTTGACAGTTACCACATTATAACACTTAGAATGTACATTTCTTAACAAAAAATTATAAAGCATACAAGGAAACAGGAAAGTATAAACCATTCACAGGACGAAAAGAATTTTACAGAAACCATTCTGAGGAAGCCCAGACACTGGACTACACTAAACAAAGACTTTAAATCAACCATCTTAAATATGCTCAATGAGCTCAGGAAACCATGGACAAAGAACCAAAGGAAATCAGGAAACAACAGATGAACAAAATGAGAATACCAATAAAAAGAATTCTAGAAAGGAACCAACCAGAAATTCTGGACTGAAAAGTACATTACATGAAATGAAAAATTCACTAGAGGGGTTCAACAGCAGATTTGAGAAGTAAAAGAAAAGATCAGCAAACTTGAGGATAGGTCCTTTGAAATTATCCAGTCTGAGGAGCAGAAAGAAAACTGAATGAAGAAACTGAACAGAGCCTGAAGGACCTAGTAAGAACGCAACGAACAAAATGATGGTGACAGCTGTATAGGACCTGGCGCCTCACGAAACGATGGGGCTGAAGAGCTGGGTAAGAGTCAGATCTGACAGTTTCAAGCTTTGGCGACTGTGTGAATTTAGTTAGTGAACACACAGGAGCTGAGAGATTGGGAGAGGAAGCGGATGTCTCGACTTCAGATTTAGGCAGCGTCTGAGGTATGAAAAAAGGCACATAACTCTGCCCTACAAACAGACGAAATACAGTCCTAGAGCTCAGGAGAGAAGTGCTGTTTGAGAGAGCGATTAGGAGCCATCTAAACCACCTTGGAAACTGAGGCGATGGTGTAGCAGACCAGCATCTGTTAAGAGTGCCGTAGAACAGAACCCTCAACAGGGACATGGTGCTGAGCTGAGGACTAGAAACCAGGGAAGGAGCGGCAGGAAGACTGAAGAGGAGACTGAATGTCATCAAAGGAGTGGCATCGAGGGACCCATGAGCAGAAGCATAGGAACTAGTGACCAAGGTGACAACTGAACTGCTGGAGTGACTGCTAAGCAGCAAACGCTGTGCACCGACGACGCGCTGAGCTGCCGTGCTTGACACACACAACACTCTGCGTCCACCACCTCATCTGAGTCGGAAGCCGCCCGTGACCAGCTGAGAGGCGAGCCCGGGGAACGCGAGAGGCGTAGGCGGCCTGAGGCCGTGGAAGGGGCTTACCCGACTGCGCACCTCCAGGCGGTGGCCTAGCCACGGCCCCGCAACCGGCCAGCCCGGGCGCCGGCGGCCCGCGAGGGCCCAACGTGCTCCAGGCCGGGCCGCCAGGACCTGTCCCCAGCGTCCCAGGCCCGCCCGCTCAGAGCGGGAAACCGCGTGGTCCCGACGTGCACCGCGCGCGTCTGCGTCACTGCGGGCGACTGCTGCGAGAGGGGCGCGAGGGAGCCGGTTGCCGGGCAACGGGGCTAGGCCGCTCCCGGCAGTCAAGGACCCCCAGAGTCTTGGGTTTCCGGAGGAGGAGCGCGCGGTGAGGCTCCCGCCGTCGGTCATCACCTTGCAGACCCTGGAAATCCGATTCCATGACTCCTTTCTACCGGAGCGGGGAATGTATTCAGTCCCAGTCACCCACGCCCCCTAGGGTAGTGAGTTTCTCCAAGGCTGTGGCTCTTTGAGAGCCCAAATTCCCCCTCAGCACTGCCCCTTGCAGGTGCAGGGTTTTTCTGGGGCCCCAGGTACAGAGCCCCCGCACACAGCTGGAGATTTCCCACGGTTGGTTGTTCGCGTTCTATTCTGTCTTTGTAAGTTACTCCAGTTGTAAAGACTGCCTGGAAAATGGCACATTTAGAATGAAGCCAAACCCAACAGGCACTTTTTTCCACATATGCTAAGGGTACCCCCCCCCCCCCCCCCCCGTCACAGTCATTCTGTCACAAGGTCTGGCCCCAACTGAACAGCTAACTCACGTTCTACTAGTCTGAGCTTTAAAGAAAAGCCCTTTTGGTGGGTTTCCAACTCTGAAATTCCTCCCTCCTACCACAAACTGTGATTCTGTCACCTCTCTTGCTCCTTCATTTTATTGCAGATAGTTCACATTCCTCCAGTGGTAAGTCAAATACACTTTTCATCCTCATTCCAGCTCTAGGTCCGTTTTGCTCTAACTAGCAGCTCTCTGGGCTTCTCCTTTGTCCTCACATAGCTTGGATATTCTGACCAATCATTTCAGTTCTCACCTCGGTGATTTTTTACTTTGCCCTCTCTGTCAATCTCCATCCCTTGCTAAACCAGATTGTATGTCCAAGCTGGTTGCAGAGGTTGTAAACCAGGCTGCAGAGATTCCAAGTATTGTTGGTGAAAAGCAAGGAATGGTGCTGTCGCTCCTCCACAAATGCATGCTTTCTAACAACGTTGCGCTCATATGGCAGCCAGGAAGTTCTTTTATCTGTTCTTGTGACCTTGCTGTCACATTGACAACATTTGTCCCAAACCTCCTATAGGCTGCCACAAACTTTCCACTCAATCCCACTCTACTTTCAGTGAACGATCTCACCTACATCTACTTTGCATCTGTATTTCTTGTATACATCTTTTAAAGAAAAATGTGAAATAGACAAAAGTATGAAAATAACACAGATATAATTCACCACCCAAAATAAACAAATATTGTCATATCTCTTTCAAACCTTTTTTTCCCAAATATTTTTAAATGAAAAAATGTCTAGAGGAGGAAAATTATCTTTTTTCTCTACCCTTCTAAGTTCTCAGCTGGGGCCCCTGGAACAAAATAACAGATTAACAAGAGAAAAGCATACAAATTTATTTAATGTAGATTTTATGTGACCCAGGAGTCTTCATAAGGAAATGAAGACCCAAAGAAGCGGTTAAATCCAAGTGTTTTTATGCTAGGTTTGATGAAGAGTGGAGCGTCGTGGAAAAATGTGATAGGACGAAAAAGGGTGTGAGCTGAGTGTAGTAAACTGGGGAAAATCTTGAGGCCAGTTCAGCTTCCCCTCAGCATCCCTCCATCTTAGAAATAAGGGTGTTTCTTTCCTCTGCATATAAGGAGGCCACTTCTCACATGACCTGCTTCAGGGAAAGGTCAGCAAGTCCTTCCTGCACAGGCCATTTCTCAAATTCCTTCAGCTTAAAATAGTCAGTATACCAAAGTGCCATATTTGGGGGTAGTATGTCCTGAACTCTGTCAAAAGAAAACAGCTCAGGTAAAAATGAAATTTCCTTTGTGCTCCACCCCAGCGCCACCCCTCATCCTGCTTTTCTCTAGAAGCAACTATCATCATAAATTTTCTGTTTTTGTAGACACCTAGATATATATGTATCCATAAAAGTGTAACATTTTGAGTGTTGAGATAGTCCATAATTTCCTCACTGGTTTATACACCATCTGTTTTACACTGTTGCCTGGAGACAGAAGACAGATTGGCGGTTCCCAGGGGCTGTGAAGAGGAGCGAAGAGGAAGTGACTGCTCAGTGACTACGAGGTTTTCTTTTTGGGTGGTGAAAATGTTTTGGAACTAGATTGAGGTGGTGGTTGCATGACAGTGTGAAGGTACTAAATGGTTAATTTTCTGTTATGTGAATTTCACCACAATTCAAAGAGCAATGGGAAGCCATGGAAAGGTTTTAAGGAAGGGAGGGTGACTCGATCAGATGTAACTTTGAGAATAATGATTAGAATGAGGATGGCCTGCAGGGGCAGAGCTCCAGTAGGGAGCAGATTTAGGAGGGTACTGAGGCTATTTAGCTGAGTGGCGATAGCTGGTGCCATATCACACCCCTTAAAATCCTGAGCATAAAGCTCCAACCCTTCAAATGGCATTCAAGACCTCTACAATTTGGCTCTTAATTTGGTCACTCAGAGCTAGCACGAGCTTCTGTCATTCTTCAATGTGCCAAATTCTCTTTCACTGCTGTTAGCTTTGCCCGGAGTATTCTTCCCCTCACTCCTCCCCTGCCAACTTTTACTTACTCTTCAGGTTTCAGCCTAAATGTCATTTACCTCATGGAAGCGTCCCCTGGCTCCTTGAATGGATTGGTCCCTTTGCCGTGTCCTCCTTTTCATGCACCCTTTGGGTCATGCCTCCCACAGGTTCAGTGCCAGCTGCCCCGCCAGCCTGCAAGCTTCAGGAGGGGGGGACGTGTCCTTGGCACTGTATCCCTAGTGCCTTAAATACGTAGACATTGAATAAGAATTTGTGGGAGGAAGGAATAAATTTGCATCTCAAGGAAGTTGCTTCAGCATTCCTCATTTCTCTCATACTTCAATCTCGACCTCCTCTGACTTCTTGTTAGCCTTTGATGAAGACAATAAGAATAAAAAGACGTTTTCGCATACTGAGGTATATGGGGCATACTGGGGTATAAGGGGAAACCATTCTGGTTTAAATCTCTTTCGGCCTGAAACTTGTTTTTCCCGGAGAAGCCTGACTTACGGCCCATGAAACATGCACTGCGCCTCTGCCTCAAACATTTTCCCAAAGCAAAGATGGGCTCTTCAAAGACAGGGGCCAATGTTTCTCTTTCTCTGACATCAGTACCAGTACTTCTTCGAGGATAAGCTTTTCTTCCCAGAGGACCAAGGTCAACTTGACCTCTGCATATGTGCTAACTGCAGCACGACATCCCTTGTGACTTCGGGGAAAAAAATTGTATTCCTGTCATGCTTGATTGTATGATTTTTGTTCTGAAAGTGTATGTAATCACGCTGTAAACCACGCTTCCCCGGAGTGCTTTCTTCCCCGAGGAAGAGAGCGCTTCCAGGCTAGTCCTCTGCTCAGTGTCACTCTATCTTTCTTACCTATAGCTTGGTTATTGGTTATATGCATTGACACTGTGAGCATGCATAAGTCTTCTTTCTCTTCATTATTTTTTTAAGATTGAGCTAACAAGTGTGGCCAATCTCTTTTTTTTCTTTTTTTCCCCCCAAATCCCCCCAACACATAGTTGTGTATTTTTAGTTGTAGGTCCTTCTAGTTGTGGCATGTGGGACGCTGCCTCAATGTGGCCTGATGAGTGGTGCCATGTCTGCGCTCAGGATCCGAACCAGCGAAACCCTGGGCTGTGGGAAGCAGAGCTCGCGAACTTAACCACTTGGCCACGGGGCTGGCCCCTTCTCTTTCTCTTTAAAAACACTTTCCTTGATGCCATTACCTATACTTCAGTTTCTAATGTATGTGTCTGTCTTTCTTCCATGTTTGGAAGCTCCTTAAAAAAGGGAGCATCTCTTGCCTATTTTTCTCTCTCCTACAGTCTCCTGTGTACAATAAGAACTCAGCAATGTTTGCTGAGTTGACATGATTTGAGAGGACACAGCTGTTGCAGTATTAGTCATTTTAAACAATATAGGAATTAAAGAAACTGTTTTCAAAATTTATTTTGAATATTGGTTCCATAGGAAAAAATGTATTTAATTAGAGGAGACGTGGAGATTTCAGAAGAGATTTTGCAGGACAGTCTGGGCTGCTGCCAAGGACTTTGGTGTTTACCTTAGAGACTTACACTCTCTCTAGAAGCAGTGCTGCTGTGTTAACCGTTACAGTTAGGCTCAGAGGGAAAACAGTGCACACAGAAGGAGGGAGAAGGGTTCCAGAGCCCGTGGGCCCCATGAGACTGCCTGAAGCAGACTTGCTGAATTGTGAGAGGTGACAGGCAAAGTAAAAGGGGTGTGTGGGAGATCTCGTGGGGTGACAGAAATGTGCCAGACTGCAGAAAGTATTTTCAGTTGGCCAGTATGACTAGTGGACACAGGACACGAGGATGAGAGGGGGCCTGTCCTCCTCCCTAAGACCCATCAATGGCTCGCCACTCTCTCTGGAACCAAATGAAAACTTAGCCTGAGTCAAAATTCCTTTCGCTTGGCCATAACTTACCTTTTCAGCTTTATCTGCCATTTCTCTGCTCACATGTTCTATGCTTTAACGGAACCAGAGTACAGACCTTTTCCTAACCTTGCTGCCTCCTATTTATATATCTTTTGTAGAATTTTCCCTCACCTGGTCTGTCCTCTTCCCTAATTTCTACCTGTTGAAATCAGGTCTGTCCCTTAGGGATCAGTTACAAATGCAGCCTTTCCCGATCTTTCCATGTGGGAACAATCTCAACAGCCCCTACAGCATTTGCTCATAACGTACATTCAGAATGGCAGCGCTTGGCACTGTCTTGCATTTCACTCCTTGAAACACTGGCTTCTTTTGGTTTTCAAATGCCATCCTTCACCTGATTTTCTTCCTACTTCTCGAGCTGCTCTTTCTAAGGTCCTTGGCAAGTTCAGCTTCCTGTACTTGGCTATTTTAAATGCTGAAATGCCTCAAGGCTCCATTCGGGATCCTTTTCTCACACTCTTTCTTTGGCCATCTCAGCTATGATTTCAGTTACCACCAAATTCCCATCACCTCAGACTTCTCTGAGCTCCAGAGGCTCAGTTAACATCTTCACCTGGATGCTCAGCGGCAACTCAAGTGAGAATATTCTATCTATGCCTGGCCTCTTCTAGTGCTCCCTCTCGAGTGGATAGTCGAGAGACTATCAGTTCTCATCAGTTCCACAAGCCAGAAACCTGGGAGCTCCCTCTCCTGAACCCTCTATCTAAACCCTTTTACACATCTCTCTGGCCTGTCATTTCTCCCCATCTCTACTGCCACTACCCTTGTCTCATCTTCCATCATCCTTTCGAAGACTACAAGTTTCCTTACTGGATTTTCCCATCGACACCTGCTCCACTCTAATCTGTTCTCCACATTGCAACTGGAATAGTCTTTTCAAAATGCAAATGTGATCTTGATCCCCCTTTGCCTAAAGCTGATCAACTGCTTTCCGTCATCTGCATGATCTGCTCCTGCCTCGATCCAGACTCATCTTGTACCACTCTCTGCCTGGCCTCCAGCTACACTGGTCTTTCAGTTTCTTTAGTGTCCCATCACCGGGCTTTTGCACATGCAGCTCTTTCTACTGGGAGTGAGCTTTCCCTGCCTTGCTGCCTCATTCAGACCTCCTCATGCTTTGTATCTTAGTCCAGCTGCCACTTTATCAAGGAAGCTTTCCATAGCCCCTCCTTGTATGCTCAGAGCACTCCAGCACCCCTTTATTGCACTTACTCCACTTGCAGTTATACACTTGTTTTTGTGATTACTGATTGTCCTGTTTGTTTCCCTCAATAGCCTGTAAGCTCCAGAAGGGTGGGATCACATCTCTATTTACTCTTGACTGTGTCCCCAGTCCCTGGGAGAGTAGACACTTGATAACAAGTAATGGATGCGTGAAATCAACTTTTGAGGACAAGGAACAGCAAGGATTCATCTTTGAAAATTTCAGCGCCTGCACAATGAATGGTTGCATTTAATGTGTGGATAACTAAGAAAGCAGCGTAAAAAGAGAATTCATTCACTCACTCCCAAATGTTCAAAGGGCTACCGTTTGCTGGGTAATGCGGTAAGAGACTGAGGACAAGGACCACCTTGGTGAGCAAGATTAAGGCTCACGGGCTGTAAATCACAACGGTATGTAGTATGCTTCAGCTGTATGCCCTCGCCTTCGCTTTCATCCAGGCATCTTCCCACTTGCCCATTCCACCCCTTTGTCCCTTTTCACTTTGCCAGGGCCGCCCCAGGGAGACAAATTCGGCCTGTATGTATAAACCGTAACTCCCCCTCCCTTCTTCTTTATGACATGTTACCATCTTTCTGGTGGCCTGATCTTACGACCCCTCAGAAGAAATACTCTGCCGGCCAGAGTGACCAGCTGTCCGGGCTGTTACCTAGAACTGGGGCTTGGCCACAGGACCCTGGGATGACCCCTCAGGCGAAAATACCAGAACCCCTGGGGCCTCTGGTCAAGGCCAGGAGCGTGTGAGGGAGTGGCGAGGGCTGGAGTGCACCTGGGAGAAAGGTTCTGCCCGGGAGGCACCACTGGCCCACACCAGACCCACACCCTAGAAGGTACTTCAAAGCATGGGGCTGCTGAGGTGCAAGGGCCCGTTTGCTCAAGGTGGTCCCTGCCTGATTTCTGTACCCCTCAGCTTCACACTTGAGCTCCAGGAGGGACCTGCAAGACGGCTGTGACCAAGAACTGTCCATTCTCTCAGTGGTGTTTCTGATGGCGCAGCATCCCTCTGCATTCTGCTGCAGGGAGCCGAAAAACCCGGCCGCAGGCAAGTGTGCCCCGTCTCCTGTAGGGATGCACATCATCGTCCCACCGGGCAGTCTCAACACAATTTTCCTTCTTCTTTTCCTGGTTCTGACCTCCTTAGTTATACACTAGCTTCTGATTACTTGCCTCATTCTCTCCTTACTTGATGAGTCATTTGGGCAATTCTCCTGCTTACCAAGCCCAGGCCTTCCCCCTCTCTCCCTCCCTTGTGGGTCCCCTTGGTTTAACGCATTGGCAGCATTAGATTGCAGACAGTCCTGCTGGGGAAAGGTCGCCTTGCAACCGGCCCCATTCTGTCAGCTCCCTCTGCAAATCCCCTGGTAGCTGACTGGCTTGCTCTGAATCCTCTTATGATTGGCAGCTTCTGTTCCTGAGCAGAATTTGTCCCATCCAATTTTAAGGTGGCGGATTATTTTTGTATCTCAAGGATGGAGGAGTATCCATAACCTGAGACCCCAGATTTTATGCAGAACCCTGCTTCTAGATAAATGACAGTATCGACCACTTTGGCACTTTCTGTTTTACAATTCCCAAGGACAGGAGATTGTAGAGAGGATGGAAGACGTTTAAGGAGTACAAACTAAAGCAGCAAAGAAAATGTGATAGCAGTTGCACGCTTCAGAAAATGTCCAGTTTTTAAGATACATTCTGCACCCGAAGGTGCAGAGCTTAAGTGGATTCAATGAACCCCAGGATACAAAATAGGCTTTTTCACTGGAACCCCAGACTTCAAAACCACTTCGATTGGTCAGTTTTCACCACTCCTCTCCATTGCCATGTTGAAATATTTATTGGAAAAATTGAAAACACAGATGCAATGTATTATACAAAGAAATGTCTTAATATCATAATAAAAGCATTGTTGGAAGGAAACAAAAGCCAGTGGCTACCTGCCCTGGGAAGGTAGGCACTCAGTGAAAAATGAAATTCATTTTTAGGAACTATTCTAATGGAAAATTGGGGAAAAGGTTAAAAACGGAAGAAAAACAAACCCAACCCCATCCCTGCAAACCTAATGTGAAAGAGTTTGTTATAAGTTTGAGACAATTGCATTATCACCAAGATTTATCCGAACCCCCTCGGTTTGTCCCTATGAGTAGTAATCAGCTTAATTTAGGGCCTTCAAACCTGAGGTAGTTGAGGGTCACCTGAAAGACATGTCTGGAAATGATCTACTCTTAGAATTGGACCCAACGGCATCTGTTTCATGTTGCTCTGCCTCCTGGGGTGAGAGGCTATGCCACCACTGTGGGTTCTGGTCCTGTATTTGGTCTGGACCCGGGAGACGAAGGACGTGAGCAGCAGACAGCTGGCCCGGCTTGCTGTGTTGATGGCTGGCAGGCCGGGGTGGTGGCTTTCTATGCTATAGGTGGTGCAGTCTCTGGAGGACCGAGGATGGTGGAGAGAGGGCAAAGCTAATCCGGTTGGAAGGCCAATGCCGGGACTGAAGGCTTTCATTGGCAGGAGGATTTCCAGAGACTTGGAAAGGTGGTAGAAGGTAGCAAGAAATTTACCAGTTATCAAAGACCAGGGTAAGTGGAGCCAGTAGACCCCTCCAGACCAAGATGCTGGCCAAGAAGTGAGCACTTCCCAGGAGCAAGCTCAGAACAGCTCCCCATCATGAGAGGCTGGAGCAAACCAACCTGACCGACTGACATGCATCTGTGACCCCCGTGGTACCTGGTATAAACCCTGGTGTCTGACTTGGCAGCTCAAACAATTCCAGGAAAGGATGCTCTGGACAATGTTGGTTCTTCCAGCTACTGGGTTAGGGACTCATATTCATACGGGATCCTGCTGTGGGCAGCCGAATCAGGAAACAATCTAAATTACAGTCAAATTTAAACTCCTTGCTCAGATACAAAATAACCCCACAAAGGTAGGTTTTTTACTTCTATTTTTCCTTATTATGTACACACATATCCTTACTCTAGAAGTATTAGAGCATTGTATTACAAAATGAAATAACAGATGCAGCTTTATTTCAACCTCTCGTCTATCCTAAGCCACTGCTTTGTTGTTGTCCTGCCTCGTTATGACCCATTTACGCTGACCCCTGAGACTTCAGTCACTAGCGATGCTCAGGGCCTAATTTAAAAGGCTCTTAGGTTCATTTTTAGCCTTAGGGTATGATTCCTGTTCTAATCAAGGAATTTCACACCAAGTATAATATAGTCATTTTTAGAAAAGCCAAGGCAGGACAATTTAATTCTGGCTAGAGAACAGACTAGTTTCTAATGTGAGCAATGATGAAAGTAATATTATATCTGACAGATATTTCCTTGTATGAGACTGAACGAGCCTGTGCTCCTGTTTAACTGCTTTCTTAACTGTTTTATTACTCAGGCTAAGCCCATGAAGCTTGTACAAATTACTGTGGCTTCTTTTTAGAGGGAGTGTTATTCAGAGAATCCTAACGTGGCCCAATATACTAGATTTTTTTCCCCGCTGTTAATTTGGAGCACGACTGTGTGAATGGCTGAGATTCTGGAAGGGAGGACTAGCTACCTCTGGAAATGTTGCTCCATGCTGAGAACACACTGATTGGCTTAATTGGCACAACTGGGCCACGGATGCCACACAGCACTCCTTCTGAGCCTTGGATGGAAAAACGCTGAGCACAAAGCAGCAATAAACATCAGAGCACTCAATTGCTACTGCTGACGCCTGTTTAGCTCAGTATGGAGAGCACAGGTCTGAGTCTTGTCATCCGAGCTAGTGGGAGACAGTGGTTTGAGTGCCCTACCGAGAAAATGCAGAGAGGGAGTGGAGGGGCTTTAGGAAGGAGTTGGGGTGATTCACAGTGATCAAACAGAAGTCTCACAACCTGTCATGTAGCAACACTTCACAATGTTCCTCTGGGACAGGTCCTGGTAAGTGCTTATCGGCTACTACCTATGAGTTGCTACAGATAAGGAAGGAAGATTCTGTTTGTCCAAGATTGGAAGGTCACTTAAATGCTGGGGTCCATTTGGAGGTGGAGAAGTGCTGTCAGGCTGCCCAGCTCCAGGAGGCTGTTAATGCGCCCTCTGTCCTCATCCTGTCCACAGGGCAGCGAGGGCCCGGGACATGAGGCTGGTCCCCCTTTCTCGTTTTCCCTGACCCAGATGCTCTGAAGAACGTGCCCGCTTTGGGATCCAAGCCGTAACAGGTCGAGATGGCATCTTAGCCTTGTTTCCGCTTCTTGAAGACTGATGTCCTGGGGCAGCAACACAAGCCTTGCCATAGTCACCCCTGAAATCCTGATTATTCCAAGCGTCTTTTTGTAGGCTGCTGCTTAACAGAGGTTAGTAATAAATATTAAAGGTACCAAACCAAGCATAGGGTTCTTTCCTGCTGGGAGCAAGTTTGCCTGATCTTCTGGGTCTGTCAATTAGGTAGAACATGGAACTGTCGTCTTCAGATTCAAGAGGATGCCAAGGCAGGCATTTGGAGAAAGGAACTGGAAACCCTGCCCACACTCCCTCCTAGGGCCCTGCCTGGGTCTGAAAGGAGGTGGCATGGAGAATTCATTCCATGGGGAAGAAACGTAGCTATTCTCACCAGCTCCATTCGAGCACGTGATAAGGTTTTTCAGCCTGGTCACAAGGAGCTCCCATGAAAGGTGTCTCCTGGAGACCTGGCCCGTGTGCACCCTCCTTTCTCTCATTTGTGAAGGTGGGCAGAGGCTTTCCGCTAAGCTCCAGCTTTAGGAAGGAAAGGCACTCGCTCTGCTTCTGCCTTTGGAGGAAAGCTGTGGCTCAGCAGCTCCGCCCGACCTGGGGAGTGGCCTTGGCTGACCCGCACTCGCTCAGCAGGACACTCAGTGTGGAGGCTGATGTGGAGCACCAAGGTGAAGCCTGAGCAGCACCATCGCTGTTAACTGCTGTGGTCAGGGGCCCCTGAGAGCTCAGAGCTCCAGGCGGGTTCCCTTTGGGAGAGTTGGCTATATGAATGACACTTGAAAAAAGAAAACCAAAAAACCCAACCAACCACCATTAGAAGCAGTGGGAATCCATGGAACTGCCAAAAGTGGGGAGAACTGCCTTGGCATTCTTAGCCAGGACACTCGTGCTCTTCTGACTCTGCGCACAGATTCAGGGTAGTGTCCTGGTTTGGAATCCACCAGCCCTCTGACGCTCGCAAGTTTGTGCAAATGATGAAACTGAAAAGACTGAGAAGAAAATAGAAAAGAAAATGCATAAGCTCTTCCCTCTCCGGGCTCCCCACAAGAACAACAAGCCAGTCTGACAAAGACACTGATTGTTTGGGGATAAAACAGCAGGCGGGACTTAGAGGGAGGTCCTCTCTGTGGGGTGGCCCTGCTGCCCCTCCTCTCTAGCCCTTGGCCAGCCCGGACACTAGGGAGGTGGTGAGAGAACACAGATCACGGGTTCCAACACAAAGGGTGTCACTGTGGAGGGAGTCTTTGCAAGGCCATGCAGGTCCTCAGCACTGGACAATGAGTGGTGTGGCTGCCACTGGGACCCCCAAGGTTTAGCTGGTGGCTGGGGAACAACAAACACAGAGATGGGTGATAAGGATTTACACTCTGATGTGTGGGGCGTTGGTGTGGCTCTACTCTTTTTCGGTCACTGCTTCTTGCACTGTAGGTGGAGATGCTTCTGTTCCTAAAAGACAGTAATAATTTATGTTTCATAGCACTTCATGCATGCACGCATTCATTTAACCAACAAAAACTGCCACCATGTTGGGCTCTAAAATACACTATAATCATAACCCTCTATTCCCTGAGTTCAGCCTCCAGGAGTGACTGGGATACATCAGTGGTAGGTTCCCAAAGTCAACCAAGTTCAACAAGAATCAGCCATCTTGGTTGTGATCAAGTTGGCCAAGCTGGATATCTGGAAGAGCAGCACTCATAGACTCCCTCTGGCCGATGAAGAGTCTCTGGGCTGGTGGGCTGAATATCACTCCACTCCACTCCACTCCACTCCACTCCATTTCTAGCTCCTGACCCATTGCTGCCCACTGCTGGCTCTAGACAGTCAGAACCTTCTAATTCACTAGCCCCTGTCTGCTAGATCTTCACTGACCAGCATCCATTCACTATTCAACTCTGCTGGCCAGAAACTAAGCTCCTGGGGAGTAAACCAGGCTAAGTGGGCCTGGAAGGGGACGGAGGTGAGTGAGGGACCAGTCCACTGGTCAACGTTAAGGTCTTGAAAGGTGACAACAAAAGCTTTCGATTCGCAACAATTTATGCCAGTTTGGGGCTTGAAGGTAACCTATAACTGAAGACATAACATGCCGTGTGAGTAGAGAAGCACAGGTCCTCATTCCGTTATGTTTTCAGGGAAGGCCCTCATCATAGTGCCCTCCCCTCACTCTGGCCAGTGCCGATCCTCCGAGGCCTACCTTCTTCCCAGCCCTCAGCAACACCGGCAAGCTCATAGTGCTTTTTTCGAAGCTCTCCCAGTTTTTGGCGCTCCTTCTGCAGTTCATTTTCTAGCTCCAGCACCCTCACCTGTAGGGAAAGTGAAATTTTCTTTTGAGTAGCAATCTCAGAACTGTCTTCTTTTGACTAATCCCTTTCCTCCACGTTCCGTTCTCTTCCTCTGTGTTGTTCACTCTGTTTCCATAGCTTACCCAGTTCTCAGTTTCGACCTGGCTCTGCTGATTTCCCCATGCTCTCAGTCATCATCTATCCCAGTGGCTCCTACGCTGTCTCACTGGGACCCTCTACAGGACATGAACGATGTTTTACCGTCCAATGTCTGACCGGCAGTAGGGCTTATCAGATGTTCCTCTGATACATCACTATCTAAAAACAACTCTAATCTTCAGCTTATCTGCATGGTGCATTCCAATTTACTTGTAACCCTTCTCCTTCAACCCCAGTTCCCTGGAAGTCCAGGCAGGAACCAAGTATGATGGTGCTGGCTTCTCTGAGGGGCTGGTGCAACTTACGGTTATTATTGTACAGGAAAAGGCACAGCCAGTCTCACTAAAGGTTGGTTCTTGGCTGTCCCTACTCCTCATTAATTTTAGTTATTAATTCAAGAAATACTTGCTGAGCGCCCATCATGTACCCCAGGCTCTGTTATAGCTGCTGGAGACATAACGGGGCCTAGACAGACACGGTCCCTGCTCACCCTGTGGGGAGAGAGAAACTAACGAACAAGAAAAGATCAGACGTAAAGAAAATAACAGAGGACGATGTGATAAAGACTAAGGGTGGTCAGCAAGGGCTACCCTCAGGAAGCAACTTTGAGCTGAAATCCAAATGGCCGTAAGAGATCAGCTGTTCAGAGAACTAGGGAAGAACATTCCAGGCAGAGGAAGCAGACTCTAGGCAGGAACGAGCTTGAGGTGTCGGAAGAACAGAAAGAAGTCCTGTGTGGTTGACGTGTGAGAGTGCGAGAGGGTCGTGAGACGAGGTGGGAGAAGCAGGCAGGGATCATTTCACCCGGGCCCACAGCTGGGGTGCGGAGTTGGCTGTCACTCTAAGGGCAAAGGGAGCCACTGGAAGATTTTAAGCAGGGAAGTGACATATAGTCATTTATGCTTTTAAAATATGTAGAGAACGAACAACTGTAGAGAGGAAGGAGTAGAAGCAACTAGATCTGGTTAGTTGGTTCCCGTTTTTTGCTTTTCAACTTTTTATGATGGAAAATGCAAAACATACATAGAAGGATGGAGACTGGTGCAGTGAATGCCATCAGCTACCTTTCACCCAGTTCCACCTGCTATCAACTCATGACTGGACTGGTCTCCGCAATTTTCTTTCCTATCCTCCCTGCCACCGCCGCCCAGGCCCGCCACGGGATTACTTTGAAAGACATACTCGCAACCATTATAATTAAGTTCTCTTGCAGTAGCTCAGTGGCTCAGGACAAAGGTGGCTTAGACTAGGTTAGGGGGATGGTGAAAAGTAGACAGGCTACGCCGTGTTTTGGACATTTAGAGTTGATAACAAACTTGCCGGGGGACTGGCTGTGGAGGGTGAGGGAAAGAGAGGAAGCAAGGATGACTCTAGGTTCAGGGCTTGGCACCCAGCTAGATGGTCGTGGTGCCATTTACTGAGATGGAGAAAGCCAGGGGAGGGGCAGATTGGGTGAGCGGGAAACCAGGAGACTTGCTCTGGACACATTAAGTTTGAGAGACCTATTGGGCTTCAATTGGAGACATCAAGTAGGCAGCTGGACAAGTACAGAGCTCAAGGAGAAGATCTAGTTTGGGGGAAGCATTTGGTATTTATCAGCATACAGATGGTATTAAAGTCAAGAGGGACTGGAGGAGCCCACTAAGCCAGAGAGAGTAGACAGAAATTTAGCCATATGACTTTTCCTTAAGATGCTGAGGGACCCACTATAGACTTTAACAGTCTCAATCTCGACTTTACCCCAAGACTGACCAGTAATTCTAGAACAAGGATGTTAGGTTTTTTTCAGGATCCCACTGATTTCTATTTTGCATGGCATAACTTTACTGAACAACTGAGAGAAATGCCATTTGGCAGGTTAACACTGAATCAGTTTTTTTAAACTAAAGGTCATGCACAAATAATTCATATTGGAAATTTTAGAAAAAAAATTGTCCATACTAAGACTATTAAATACCAGTTGACGGTCAGCTAGGAGATCCCTGATAACATCTAGAGGGACACCAGTCTAAGATTAGCGGGCAAGATTTAAGATTCTGACCTTTACTCATCATCTCTCTCTACCGCCACTGTTTCCTCCGGCATCATTTACATCCACTCTTGGGCTAATAGATACATCTGTGCTCAAGTCTCTCTCTCACTGGCTTCTCACCATGGGCGTCATATTCGGGGTCGATGTCACAGCCAATAGAGACTGACTAGACTGAGAGATGGAGTTCCTACCTGGGAATCCATCTCCTGGCGTTTGATCTGGGTCAGCGTCATGCTTGAGAAGTCCATGTTGTCTGCAAGGACGAAAATAAGGTCTTGTCAAATAACACCCCTCGCAGACTCTCACCTGAGAGGCAGCCGAGGGCAACGCTCTACTGAAATGCTTGGTTTGCCATTTACCAAGACATGTGTGAAAGCAACCGAGGGATGGAGAGGAAGGAAGACACAGTGACAGAGTAATGAGGACCAGACCCCCCAGGGACAATCAGGCCTGTAGAGTCATTTCTTCGAATTCAGAGAAATGGCTAAATGGAAAATCTACCTGTGGCCTGTCACTATAGTAATACAAAAAAACATGCTTATGTGGTGTCCCACCTTACGAGAAAATAAGCATGAATGCAAAAAGATGAAAAATGAGAGATTTTGGAAAGAGAACTGTGGGAGTTTTTGATCATGGCAAGGAACATGAAGAGCAGCTTGACAGGATGGATAAGGAAAGCACTGCTTCTGGAAGGCTACCTGTCTCCTCAATCTGTGATTTGCCAGAAACGGTTGAGGCCACCACGGCGGCAGTGGCCTGGTTCACCCCCCGGGAGGCCTGCTGCAGCTGGGCCAGGTTGGGGCTGTCCTTATCAGCTTTTACCTGCCAGGACCAAGCAGATTTAGGTTCACACAACACAGAGCAGCAAGGACTGAATCACACAGTTGTTCTGCTGGGTCTTGACAAAGACACGTGACCCACTGTGGTCACCAATCAGCTTCTCGAAGATCGCTGCCTACGAGGTCAACTCCTGGCATCCCTCTAATATAAAAAGTCATTCCTGCTTATTTGCTTGGTGGCCTCAAACTCTAGCTTTATCAGTTATTTTGATGAAGTATTCCAGTTGGGAAAACCAATTTGGGACAACAGTAAATAAGGATGATAAAAGACCACTCCCCGGGGCACTATAAAATTCACAGAAGGACTTTGGTGACAAGCTCTGCCTTGGGACTGGTTGGGGCCGTGGTTCACATGTGGAGACTCTTGAGGAGAAGCAGACATTGGTTCTGCAAGCTCAGAGCCGAGCCAGGTAAGCAGCTTACTGCGCTGACAAATTCCTATTGGAGTGCTTCTTAAATGCTGAGACTGCCAATCAGAGGTCAGCACAGCTGGTACCCTCAAACGTCACGTGTAACAACAGTGGGGAGAGCCAAGAGGAGCACATGCGGCGCGTGGGTAGAGGGGCTCCTTGCTGACAGATGGAAGGCATTTAGAGGAGGGTAGTGTGGGACCCTTGAGAGCCAAAATTTGAATTTGAGACCCAACCTGCCTGGACCCTAGACAAGTCATCTGTTCTTGGAGCCAGTCCCTGGTCCAAGTACCTCAAACCTAGCCAGGGCTTACGCCGTCCTAGGGAGTCTGGCCCCGGGCCTACCTTGGATGCAGCCACAAGCTGGGCTGTGCTAGCAGCAATCTCATGTGAACACACCATTAGCTCCTCGAATTTCCCTCTGCCTTGTACCACCAGATCGGCTGCATCCCTGATAGTCAGGAAAGGACCAGATGGATCATGTCACTGCCAGCTGCAACCCTTTATGATCCCCCTCCTAGCTCACCCCCATCACCCTGGCGGGACAGAGACCTGCCTGCTCTGTCCTTGTGCTGCCCTAGGGGACTCCGGCTCCCTTTTAAACTGTTATCCTATTGACTCCTTATCGACAGTTCATTTCCAGGGGGCAGCTTTTTTTCCCTTAGTTATTCTCTGGGGTGGATCAATGGAATGCGGTGGGGCTGAGGAGTCTTGGGACTGACAGACACTTACACCATGACAGTGGCTCCCCAGCCCACAGCTTTGGACGCTGAGATGAGTCCTTCTGTCCATCGAGAATTCTTGGCATAAAACTCCTTCGGGGATGCTGTACCCTAGGGAAGTGAAAAATAAGAGCAGCTGCCTTTTACTGAGGGCCAGGCGCTTTTATGTACATTATCCCACCTAGTCTTCGCTGTAACCGAGGGGCAAGCATTATTATTCCCATTTTACAGATGAGAAAACTAAGATTCAAACAGGCAAAAATACTTTTCCCAAAGTCATGCAGGGAATAAATGGAAGTAAATCCTAGGCTTTTCTGACTCCAAAGCCTATAGCATTTGTTATATCACAATATTTCTATAGTGTATATGTAAGAATACATATATTCATTGTATATATGAATAACTTATGATCTGAGTGGTCTAGCTGCTGTGATTTTCCAAAAGAGGAGAGTACACAGTGAATAATTAAAAAAAATCATTTCTACTTGGATTCTAAGAATTATGCTTCGGAAGTGTCTGATAGTCTGAGAATCTGCAGATACTCCTTGCTCAGTCGTTTTTTCTATTTTGGGGACAGAAAATATCACCTCTCAGACTGAAAAAAAGCACCTCCAAAACAGATATGGCTTTGTTCTTTATAGGATTATTTTCAGGCTCATAAACTGTCCCTGGACCTCCGTCTCTCCGTCTCCTCCTGCACGCAGGGATGTGAGAAAGGAAAGATAATGATAATGCCAGCGAAGGAGTGAGAAGCCAAGCGAGGTTGTCAACAAGAAACTGAGGCAGAGTCTGTCTGTGATGACCATCTGTCGACTGCCACTGGAAAGAGACACAACACCAGGTTTGCTCTCCAGATTTGCCCAGTTTTCACAAGTCTTCACTTCCTCCTCTGAGGCCCAGACGAGTAACGCACAGGGGGTTTCCAGCAGATTCTCCAATGATGTCCACCTGGGTTAAAGAGCCTGAGGCTGGAGGCCTGGGCTGACGGCTCTCTGGGGACCTGGCAGTGCCCCAGCGACTTCCCATGGTGCCTGCTGACGTCCACAGGAGCGGCAGCTGCACCCTCAGATGGACACAGGATGAGACGGCAACATACCGAGATTTCACTGAATGTGGACGAGCACGTCAAGTAGGCCTAGCCTGTCAGTGAACTGGACATCTGTAACTGATGTCCACTGGCCCTTGCACATGCTTACCCGGCCACTCTCCACTATCTCTCTCTGGAGGTCCTTCGAGGCCACAATCAGGACCTGAATGGCTTGCATTAGGCTGGTACAGGAACCAAGAATCCTGCAAAAAAAATGGGTCAGGGACACAGAAACAGACCAACAACAATGAAGAAGACTGTTCTGTTTTTCATTCCTCAACACAGGCAAACTTGGACGGGGAAGAAGGCAGGGGATGCTCTGCGGGTGAAGCCCTGAAGAAAGGCAGGTGGGCAAGGAGACCTGCTGGTGCCTCTTCTTCATAAGGATGGTGAGGAACCTTGGGGTTTCTTTCCCCATGAATGCAACAGCAATATCATCACTGTTAATACTGTTACTGACAGTTACACAGACTCAGCCCTTCTCTGTGGCTGTTAATGTTCTATTCTAATTAGGATAATCCACCGCAGGAGAGATGGATCCCCATCACGTAGGTGCCACCATGCCGCTCAGACTGACCTTTCGTTCACCTCCAATTTGACTCCTGTGTCTCCCGCTCGGGATTTGCTGAGCATCTCCTGTTAAAAGGAAGCAAGCTTTCTCACACATGATGGGGACTGAGAATCCATGGGTGTCCTGCTATATGTGTGTCCAACATTCTGGGGTGGAGGAGAAAGCCACATCTAGAAGAGCCCAACCACGTCTTTGCAAGAGTCAGGAAATGAATCCAGACCTCCAGGCTACTCAGTGGGAAGCTCCCCAGCAGGCTGGCTCCAGTCAGGGAGTCTCCTGACGTTCCAGCACCTAGGCTGATGTGCACAGAACTCTGAGAGCTGTGGCATCATGCCAATAGGGACAGCTGCTCCCAGGTCCTAGAGGCAGGTACTCACACCAAGGTGGGTGGCCTGAGTCTTCCACCAAAGGAGCAAATGTGACTTTTGCAATGGTGCCTTCTCAGCTTTTCCCTGAGACAATCGTTACCATTGATTTACTGAGTGCCTGGCACTGAGAGAGATGTGCGTTATCTCATTTAACTCTTACATCCCTCTGAGGTGGGTACTATTGCTATTGCCATCATCTAGAAATGGAATCTGAATCTTAGCAAGGTTAATGCCACACATTGGATGGCCTACAACTGGCAAGTGGTCAATCTGGAACTTGAAGGCAGGATGATCTGACACCAAAGTATGTGATCCTTAAGGACACTGTTCACCTTGCCTTGGTGAGACCTTCTCCCATTCCACCCCTCAGAGATGCTAGTAAGTTTGGGTTTTGATTTGTTTCATAGGGGGCCTCTGTAGCCTCAATGAACAACTAAGATACATCCAATGGGCAATGCTGCCAAAGGGAAGCTGCAGGAGCATCACTCGGAGACCTTTTTAGGATCACTTCCTTACCTCTATTCTGGCTGTAGCAGTTTCAATGGCAGCTGAAGTGGCGGCCATCTCCTTGTCTACCAGGTCCCCTAGCTCCTCCTGTTTGATGTCCAGGCCTCTGGGCAGAAGCTCCTGTGAACAGCATCACAAAGGCTGAAATGATCCTTTGACTTCCTCTCTATTCTCCTCTGGCAGACTTGTAATCCTCACACGACAGCAGAAGGTAGGAGAGGAGCACCCCACCATGTAACACACTTCTGCAAGCCATGGAAGGGCGTCCCTCACAGGCCTTGTCTGGAACTCTCTATGTGAACTCTGGAACCTCACGCTCCACCTCCCTCTACTCTCACTCAGACCCCCCTCCTTCTAGAAAGCCATCCCCACCTAACTCCACAAGGCCATTCAGTTGTAGCTGCTCGAACCCTAACCTCACAGTTGCACAGCGTCGATTATATTTGCTGCTTGGGAGGTATTTTAAAAACATCTTCAAATGTGGATGATTCTTCCAACTAGACAGTCTGCCCTTATCTAACTTTGCTTCCACAGCAATCATGATGCAGCTACTATCCTGTTCTACAGATGGGGAGCCAAGGCTCAGAGAGGTCAAATGTCTGGACCACGGTTACACTGCTAATGAATGGCGGAGCAGGGATTTGAACTCAGGTCTGATGGTAAAGCTGTGATTTTTAAAAATATTATGTATTATATATACAGAAGTATAAAATAGATATGAATGGTTTAAAGCATAAGAACAATGACCCATGTTACCCACCGCCCCACTTAAGGAACAGCTTAAGAAACAACACCAGCACCTTTGAAAGCTCCTTTACATCCTGCCCTGATTCCATCTCCCTTCCTCCCTACTTCCCACCTCAAGATGAACTCAGAATTCAGGAGAATGCTTACTGTGTCTTTTTTGAAAAATTCCATATGAATGCATCCTTAAACAATATAATGTTAAGTTTGCATGTTTTGGTCTTTATTTAAAAGGAATCGTACTGTATGTATCTATGACTCGCTTTTTCACTCAGCATTCTGTGTGAGACTCGTCCTATAAGCTAGTAATTCTATTCCTAGGTATACACGCTAGAGAGACTCTTACATATGTGCATCAGGACACATGTACAAGAACAATCACAGTGACACACTCATAATAGCCCCAAACTGGAAATAACCCAAATGTCCATCAACAAGAGAACAGATCTATCAGTTCAGCTATATTCACACAACGGAATACTACAGAGCAGCAAACATGAATGCGTCCACATGGATGAATCTCACACACAGGATGCAACATGCAAGTTACAGAAAAAAGTCTATAGTACATAGAACTAACAACATGTTACTTAGAGGGGAAAAGGACTTAGTCTTTCTATTATCTTCTTCTGGAACTCTCATTAAATATTCTATATATGACCTTTATTATCCCACTTATAAAATCTGAACATTCTGTGTAAATTCCTTCAGTTCTATCATCCAGTTCACTAATTATTTCTTCAGCTTTGTTTTTAACCTGCTGTTGAATCTATATACTAAGTTAATACTTTCAATAATCACATTTTTCATTTCTAGAAGCTCTGTGGTTCTTTTTCAAATATATCTGGTTACTTTTGAAAATATTTTATTCCTTTGTCACACTTTTAATACCTTTAAAAAACTTCCTTAACATGTAAAATGTATTTATTGTGATTCCTTGGGACTTTGTGAAACTTCTTTGAGGTTTAGGTTTAAAGTATATTTCTTCAGAGACAATTTGGATGTGTTTCTACGAGGTTACCTGGACCTCTAACAACCTGGCCACTTTAAACTTGATCTTCTGCTTGGGGTTTTTCAGGCCATATGGGTAGTATGAGACTTGGACCCTGAACCCACAGGAAGGAGGCTTGTGGTTAGGAATTCTCTAGGCAGCTGTCTTTCCTTCTCTTCTCAGAACCAAGGCTGAGACAAGATCTTCCCTGTAGGGCAGTCTTTTTCCCATTCACCCAAGGTACGACCCTTCAGAATTTCTTTTTGGGGAGGAAGGCTCTGCATTCCAGTCTTTTATCCTACTTGGGCACAGAGTTTGTCTCTTGTTCTCCTCTGCATGTGTGGCCATTAAAATCCAAGCTCCAGGCCACCAGAGTTAGACAAACACTGGCTCTAGCATCCTTTGGTCTCTGATTCTGAGAATTTCCTTAGTTGTCAGCCAGTTCAGATTCAACTAAAAATTTTGCTTTTCAAATTTTATTCAGTATTTCCTATGTCCTGTGCTGGCAGTCTCTAAACATCTGGTCAGCCTTGCCAGAAAGGAAGCCTGCCCAGGATCTTTCTATCACGCTTTGCTTTCCTTTCATTAATTTAATTTTTTGTCTCCTCATGGCATCCTACATACTTTGCACGTGCATTCTGAGTTCTCAATTCTGCATCACACTGGGGAAGATGCTCTATCACCAACAAAAGGCAGACTGTGTAACGCTGCCTAGGCCGCCACCAGCAATTTAATATCACCACGATCACGTCATCCTATTGAAGGCAAGGTTGGCAATTCCCCATTGTCCACAGCCTTCCTTCACCCAGACATTCAAGGTCCTCCACTTCATTGCCCACTTTCTCCCCAGTATGAACTCTCCTTCCCCATCCGAGCTACCTTTTAATCTGTTTTGCTCTCTCCGTGTGCATACTCAATTAATTAAACATTTGCTGGGTGTTAACCACCTGCCAGATATTATGCCAGGGACCAGGGATACAATATGAAGGAGCTATGGGCTCTACCTTTGAGGACTCACGGGGGGAAACAGAGAGGTAAGCATGTTCATTACAGCACTACCCACCAACACTGTAAGGTGAAGGGGGGTGGTGGCAGGAGGGACCCAGAAAGGTGTCTAAGGGCCAGATTGTGAAGGTCCTTGTATGTCAGGTTACATAATTTGTTATCAAACACATGGAATTATAATCAGATCTCTGTTTTTGGAAGACAGCAGAGGAAAAAGAGACTGGAGGCAGAAAAATTAACCAGAAGTCTGTTCTGAGTCCAAATGAGAGATGAGGAGGATGTGAACTCTGGCCCTCATCTCTTCTTTCCCTGAACTTCTCATTACCACATAGTTTAGGAATTAATTAAATACTGCTTTGTACCACACTCTTAAAATAGATCTCCACCACAGTTCTCACCACACTGTACAGAAATGGTTGATTTCCTTATTTTCCTTCCCCACAGAGACCCTATCTTATTTGTCCCTAAATGACTACACCCAGAACAATTCCCAGTATCTAGGACACACTCACTACATCTTTACTGAATGAGTAAATACACAGTCATCTCCATTTTAGATGTTACCTGCTCAACCAGACAAAAATCCTTGCAAACAGGGAAACTGACCCGCTTCTTCTTGCCATTGCTTAGCACAGCGACGACCACACAGGAGCTTCTCAATTAACAGCCAATGAATTAAATAACTGGAAAGTCATTCAAGGGGTCAGATTTTTCAGCTCTAACTCTCACTTTCTAGAAGCAAGTTGTAAGGGCACAAAGAACGGGCTTCGAAAATCACTGATTCCCACAAATCACCAGCACGCACAGCCGACAACAGTAGCAACCTTCCCCAGTAAGAGCACTACGATACCTCGCCGATGGCGGTGATCTCGCTGAGGCAGCCCCTCAAGGCTGTGCTGTCGGCATTCTCAAGGGCTCCGTCTTCCCCCACGGAAGCCAGATAGATGAGGGTTTCCCTGCCATACTGCTTACAGGCCTCGGTCAGTGCTGGAGAGGCAAGGCGACAGAGACTTTTAAAGGCCCTCTCTCTGCTCCCCCTGCTTTCCGGAAGGGCCCCCACCCCTGGTACTCACAGTCCGCAGGCTCCGGTGGGGCTCTAAGGCAGGTGGTGCTACCGTGAACAATGGTGTCACTGGTCAAGTGGGCCAGGAGGGTGACTGAGTGCAGAAGCCCACTCACGTCTGCCAGGAGTGTAAATGGAAGTTTCTCAGTCCTGCTTGAGGGCTGTCACTTTCCTACCCCCTCCTATCCCGCTTTGCGAGTTGTATGCACTCCCCTCTTGGTGCCTAGGAACCGTCGCTACTTCCACATTCAAGCGTTTCTGCACCCTGCCCAGCCGTCACTAGTGACAGACCCCGTCCTTCACCTCTCTTACCTTCTGGGCAGGCCAGATACTGGCTGCAGCTTTTTTCCAGTTGCTCAATGCAGCTGGAAACAGACTTGACCGTGGAGAGAAGGTGATCTGTGAGAGGGAAGGCAGGGCAAAGTCAGAGTTGTCACAGCTCGCTTCACCCCATTAAAGCCACCTGATGATGAGCCTAGCTAGTGAGTGGCCCCAGTCCTCCAGAGGGAGGAGGAAAGACTGTTGGCTACAGTGGTATGTGATTCTCCTACCATAGCTTCAAAAGCTGTGCTTCTGATCCTATCTGGTCCCTCAGCCAAAACCCAGGGCAACTGCATGGCCAGCCTAGATTCTGCCTCTCATTTCTCATCACTGCCCACTGTATCAAATCCAGGCTTCCCTGGTAAGTCTTTCCAGGCCCTTCGACTCTCATTACTCTCAAGCCCAGACCCTTGGCTCTGGGCATACAACACAGTCATTCCCACTGCTGTGCCTCTGTGCACAGGTCCACGGAGACACTACCGCACAGGAGTTAAAATACGGGCTCTTGAGTCACACTGCATAGGTGTGGCTCCTGGCTCTACCACTGCTGGCTGTGATCTCAGGCCACCTGTGCCTGCTCTCCCTCATCTGAAAACAGAGGCATAACAGTACCTCTGTTGTGATGATTTGCTGGACCAAGGCGTGTAAAGCACTTAGAACAGTGGCTGGCACACAGCAAGCGCTTAGTAAGTGTCAGCTATTTTATTATTAGTATGCCCCACTTTTCCTCCTCTCCACAGCTTCATGTCTCTCCTCTTCTTTCAAAACGCAGCTCATAACTTCCCTTCTCAGAATCCGCCCACGACTGCCCATTTCCTGGCACAACCTCAGTGAATTAGGTCCTCAGTGTGCCCTTCATCTGTAACTGTTGTTTCCTCACAAATGGGGTCCCCGCTGAATGACAGAATAGTCCTGGCTGTACACCTCACCAAACTGAGACCTTTCTATCCGGTAATAAAAACCAACCATCAGTTGTTTCCTCCCGTCTGCCTTGTTCTCAATGGGACCTCTCATTAGCTTGCCAACATGTTCCCTCTGCTTGAGAACAAGCTGTAATGAGACCTGCTCGTCTCTATGCCCATGACTTCACAAACCTCCTGGGCCTGGATGCTGTGCACAAAGGCTCCCCTCTCATCCAGAGGCTTCTCTGACTTGGCCCCTGTACCACCCACATGCCCTTAGGACTCTGGTACATGCAGAGTGGGCCCCTGTTCATGCCTGTGACTGGGGATTTTTACCGTTTCTGTCCCTCCGTGCTTTATGACACCTCTCTGTCTAGACTTGAAGCTCACGATCAACCATCCCTTGATTCAGACCATATTTTCCTCCTTAGAGAGAAACAGGACAGTCTGCTCCTCCTCCTGGCCTTTAGAATTGTTATGGGGCCTCTGCTCCCAGTGGGCCTTTCATCAGTGGGATCCATGACTAAAGCAACAGTTATCACACCTGGGGGCTTTAGAAAATCCTACTGCCCAGGCCCTGTGCCACAGAGCTTCCGTAGGAACTGATCTGGGGGGCAGAGGCGGGTAGGGATCTCCAGGTGATTTGGACACGCAGCCGGGCAAGAAGCCCTGGACTCAGTGTCACAAGGGATTCGACACCAACGCTGAACAGCATTCAGCTGAAAGCTTCGGCATCTGCAAGCCGGGTGAGGGGAAGCACCTGCAGATCCGGCGCAGCTGATCAGAGTGGGCTCCTCCAGCTGCCTCAGGGCCTCTTGTACCACCTGCTCCGCAGCTTTCCTCGACTGCAACAGCAGCATTTTTCGTTGGTCCTTTGCGAGCTGACCCATAGATTCCTAGAAACGGTCCAGGGAGGTAAGAGTCTGCCATAGATCTCATAATCAGCCTCCGAGCAGCAGCCACTTGTGACACAGCTGGGATTCCTGATAGCTTAGCCCAAGCCAGTTAGCTTGACACAGAGAAGAACTCTTTAACTTTGTCCACAGGCTCGTGCCACTGAGCAGAGGAGGCTATGAGAATGGACCACTGCAACCAGTTCTCCTTTCTAGGCGAGAGATGCATCCCGTCTCATAGGAAAGAGAGAGCGAGCTTTGCTTTCCCTCATCTGCTCTGTGGGTGACACAGGGCATGCTGGCATTAGGAGCTGTGCTGACAGAATGCCTTCACAGTCATGCCAGAGGCCCCAAGGGCCTTTCAAGCCCCCTGCCTCCATGAATACACCACTGAGGCCCATGGGTGTGAAGTCCGACTTGGTCAACCCAAGCGGGTGTCCGTTACTTGCCTGTGTGCTGGACAGTTTGAGCTGGGTGTCTTCCAACTGTTTCTGAAGAACAGATAATTCCTCCTCTCGATGAGCCATGGTGTTCAGCAAGCTGTCTCGCTCCTTCTCTAGTTCGGCGATCTGGGTTGCCCATTTTTCTTCTGACTGCAAAGGAGACCATGTGGGAAGAGGGAGTTGCTGGGAGAATTAAACTGTCCCCTTTCCAGAAGTCCAAACCCACCACAAGGCCACAAGGAACAGGAGGTGATATCTCTTTACTCTGCCACTTCCATTCTCCTGAGAACACACTGATCACAGATGGGACCAGCTTGGTCATATACTAGATGGTGATGGATGCTGGGTGACAGCAATCCCAAAGCTAGAGGGGAAAGCAAGAAGAAGGAATAGAAAGGAGGAGATGCTCACCTGGGCAGAAGTTTCCAGGCTGCCCTGGACAATGTGGAGTTCCTGTTTGCTGGTGGCAAGTTCTTGCTTCAAGTTCTCTAGTACTTCTGTCTGTTCTTGAGTCTGAAAGAGAAGAAAAACAGGAACACTCGGATCTGGGTGGTGGTTACAAGGGATAAACATATGTAAAAATCCCCAAGCTATAAATGTGAGATGTGTGTACTCTTTTGTATGCAAGTTTTGCCTCAACAAAAAGTGTGTGGGGAGAGGTGATGTCAGCGACATAGTGGAGTGAGCTCACCCGGGACTCTCTCCCCTCCAAACTACAACCAAAAACGAACAACTGAATTTCAACCAATAATTCTAATAATATGAGATCGTCGGAGACCCACAGCAGCCAAACGACAGAGGGCAGAGAGGTTGGAGCTGCCCTCAGAGGAGCTGGAACGGGGTAAGAGAGAACTTTGCTCCCTCCCCTAGAGACTGGGATCACTGCTGCGGGTGAGGGAAGGAGTGGGGCAGGGGCCGCATGTCTGCGGACTTGTCCAGGACTCCCACAGACCAGTGCAGCGGAAACCCTCTAACGGGGGAAAGCTTCTGCCCTGGGGGGACCTCATCAAGCCAGGGCCCCAGGAAACCAGACAGCGAGAGCTGATCAGAATCCAGGTCTGCGTGTGAGAGAAAGTGCCCCTCCTCCCCCAATCCATGCTGTGCACTGCCATCATCACGGCTGAAGGCAGAGGGCTCAGAAGGCACAGCTCTCGACCCCCATCTAGTGGCGACAGGCTGTAACTGCAACTGAATAATAGCATCATGCGCAAAAACCGCTCCTCTACCATCCAGCAATTCATAAAAGCTCCAGTCCACAAGGAAAACAATAAAAACACAGAAGTATGTCCTGAGGACTTGGAAATAGGTAAAGTAAGTGAAGATGAGTTCAAAATAGCTATCATCAAAATATTCAATGAGGTAAAGGGAAATATAGAGAAACAAGTCAACGAGTTCTGGAGTTACTTCACAAAAGAGATTGAAATCGTAAAGAAGAATCAATCAGAAATACTAGAGATGAAAAATACAACGGATCAGATAAAACAGAATACGGGTTCCCTGAATGCCCGTGTAGACACCATAGAGGAGAAAATTAGCATAATCGAAGACAGACAGGCTCAACGGCTCCAGACAGAGGAAGAAAGAGAACTAAGAATTTAAAAAAATGAAGAAAATCTCTGAGAAATAGCAGATTCAATGAGGAAATCCAATTTAAGATTATCGGAATCCCTGAGGGCGTGGAAAAGGAACAGAAAGAGTGCTCAAAGAAATAATAGAAGAAAATTTCCTAAATCTAGGGATTGAGGGAGAAATGTGTGTGGAGGAAGCCTTCAGATCTCCTCGATTTGTCAATGTAAAAAGACCTACTGTAAGGCATATAGTAGTAAAAGTGGCAAAAATGAATGACAAAGAAAGAATACTCAGGGCAGCAAAGCAGAAGAAAAAAACCTACAAAGGAACCCCTATCAGACTTTCAGCGGATTTCCCTACAGAAACCTTACAAGCTAGGAGAGAATGGAATGACAAATTCAAAACTTTAAAGGATAAAAATCTTCAGCCAAGAGTACTCTATCCAGCAAAAATATCCTTCAGATATGAGGGAGAAATTAAATCTTTTCCAGACAAACAAAATCTAAGGGACTTTGTAACCAAAAACCTCCACTACAAGAAATCCTCAAGAAGGTTCTCATACCTGAAAAAAGAAAAAAAGGGAGAAAGGGGGCACAAATCACAGAGTAGAGAGACAAATAGATAGAATCAGAATAGGATAGAAAATGTTCAACTATAGCATTAGGATAAAGGGAAGGAAACCACCAAAGCAAAGACGATCTTATCACTCTAACCACAAACTCACAACACAAGTTGGAATAAGAGATGAAAATAATACTCTAGGAGGGGAAGATGAAAAGGACTAAATAAGTCTAGGCCAAGGAAGTAAGAGACCACCAGAAAATGGACTATACTATACACGAGATTCTGAATACAAACTTCAGGGTTGCCACTAAACTAAAAAACAGAACAGAGACACAAAACACAAATAAGGAAAAATCTAAGAAACCCAGCATAAGAAATTTCAGAAGTCAATGGGTAGGCTAAAACACACAGGACGAGAAACAAAGGTAATGCAGGAAAACCAGATAACAAGTGACAGAATGAGAGCATTAAGCCCTCATGCATCAATAATCACCCTCAATGTAAATGGATTGAACTCTCCGATAAAAAGACACAGAGGGGCAAAATGGATTAAAGAACAAGATCCAACAATTTGTTGCCTCCAGGAAACACACCTCAGCCCCAAGGACAAACACAGGCTCAGAGTGAAGGGGTAGAAGATAATACTCCAAGCTAATAGCAAACAAAAGAAAGCAGGTGTCGCAATACTTATATCAGACAAAACAGATTTCAAAATAAGGCAGGTAAAGAGAGACACAGTGGGACAATATGTAATGATCAAAGGGACACTTCATCAAGAAGAAATAACGCTTATAAATATCTATGCACCAAACACAGGAGCACCAAAGTTCATAAAGCAACTATTAACAAACATAAAAGAAGATATCAAAAACAACACAATAATAGTAGGGGACATCAACACCCCACTCACATCCATGGACAGATCATCCAGACAGAAAATCAACAAGGAAACAGTGGAGCTAAATGAAAAGCTAAAACAATTGGACTTAATGGACATATATAGAACACTCCATCCAAAAACAGCAGAATACACATTCTTCTCAAACATGCATGGAACATTCTCAAGGATAGACCTTGTTGGGAAACAAGGCAAGCCTCTACTAATTTAAAAAAATCAAAATAATAACAAGCATTTTCTCCGATCATAATGCTATAAAGCTAGAAATTAATTACAAGAAAAAAGCTGAGAAAGGCACAAGGATGTGGAGACTAAACAATATGCTATTGAACAAGCAATGGATCACTGAAGAAATTAAAGAAGAAATCCAAAAATACCTGGAGACAGATGAAAATGATAACATGCCATACCAACTCATATGGGATACAGCAAAAGCTGTATTCAGAGGTAAATTCATCACAATACAGACACATCTTACCAAACAAGAAAAATCCCAGATAAGCAATCTTAAACTACACCTAACTGAATTGGAGAAAGAAGAACAAACAAAGCCCAAAGTCAGCAGAAGGAGAGAAATAATACAAATCAGAGCAGAAATAAATGCTATTGAAACGAAAAAGGCAGTAGAAAGGATCAATGAAACAAAGAGCTGGTTCTTTGAGAAGAAAAATAAAATTGACAAACCCCTACCAGACTTAGAAAGAAAAAAAGGGAGAAAGCTCAAACAAACAAAATCAGAAATGAAAGAGGAGAAATAACAACAGACTCCGCAGAAATACAACGGATTCTAAGAGAATACTACGAAAAACTATATGCCAACAAAATGGATAACCCAGAGGAAATGGATAAATTCTTGGACTCCTACAATCTCCCAAAGCTCACTCAAGAAGCAGCAGACCATTTGAACAGACCAATCATAAGGAAAGAGACTGAAACAGCAATCAAAAGCATCCCAAAGAATAAAACCCCAGGACCAGATGGCTTTCCTGGGGAATTCTACCAAACTTTCAGAGAGGATTTAATACCTATCCTTTTCAAGCTATTCCAAAAAATTAGGGAGGATGGAACACTTCTTAACACATTCTATGAGGCCAACATCACGTGATACCAAAGCCTGACAAGGACAGCACGAAAAAAGAGAACTACAGGCCAATATCACTGATGAATGTAGATGCAAAGATTCTCAACAAAATTTTGGCAACCCGAATTCAGCAATTCATCAAAAGGATCATACAGCATGATCAAGTGGGATTCATACCAGGGACACAGGGATGGTTCAACATCCACAAATCAATCAACATGATACACCACATCAACAAACTGAGGAATAAAAACCACATGATCATCTCAATAGATGCAGAGAAAGCATTTGACAAGATCCAACAGCCATTTATGATAAAAACTCTGAACAAAATGGGCATAGAAGGAAACTACCTCAACATAATAAAGGCCATATATGACAAACCCATAGCCAACATCATACTCAATGGGCAAAAACTGAGCACCATCCCCCTGAAAACAGGGACGAGACAAGGATGCCCTCTATCACCACTCTTATTCAACATAGTACTGGAGGTCCTGGCCAGAGCAATCAGGCAAGAAAAAGGAATAAAAGGAATCCAAATAGGGAGGGAAGAGGTGAAACTCTTACTGTTTGCAGATGACATGATCTTATATATAGAAAACCCCAAAGAATCCATTGGAAAACTTTTAGAAGTAATCAACAACTACAGCAAAGTTGCAGGGTATAAAATCAATTTGCATAAATCAGTAGCATTTCTATACTCTAATAACAAGCTAACAGAAAAAGAACCCAAGAACACAATACCATTCACAATCGCAATAAAAAGAATAAAATACCTCAGGGTGAATTTAACTAAGGAAGTGAAAGACCTATACAACGAAAATTACAAGGCTTTTCTGAAAGAAATGGATGACAACATAAAGAGATGGAAAGACATTCCATGTACATGGATTGGAAGAATAAATATAGTTAAAATGTCCATTCTACATAAAGCAATCTACAGATTCAATGCCATCCCAATCAGAATCCCAATGACATTCTTTACGGAGATAGAACTAAGAATCCTAAAATTCATATGGGGCAACAAAAGACCCCGAATTGCTAAAACAATCCTGAGAAAAAAGAACAAAGCTGGAGGCATCACAATCCCTGATTTCAAAACATACTAGAAAGCTACAGTAATCAAAACAGCATGGGTCTGGTACAAAAACGGGTGCACAGATCAATGGAACAGAATTGAAAGCCCAGAAATAAAACCACACATCTCTGGACAGCTGATCTTCAACAAAGGAGCTGAGGGCATACAATGGAGAAAAGAAAGTCTTTTCAGCAAATGGTGCTGGGAAAACTGGAAAGCCACAGGTAAAAGAATGAACATTGACCATTCTTTCTCATCATTCACCAAAATAAACTCAAAATGGATCAAAGACCTAAAGGTGAGACCATAAGCCTTCTAGAAGAAAATGCAGGCAGTACACTCTTTGACATCAGTATTAAAAGGATCTTTTTGGACACCATGTCTTCTCAGACAAGGGAAACAATAGAAAGAATAAACAAATGGGACTTCATCAGACTAAAGAGCTTCTTCAAGGCAAAGGAAAACAGGATTGAAACAAAAAAACAACCCACTAAATGGGAAAAAATATTTGCAAGTCATACATCTGACAAAGGCTTAATATCCATAATATATAAAGAACTCACACAACTCAACAAAAAAAATTAAACAACCCGATCAAAAATGGGCAGGAGACATGAACAGACATTTCTCCAAAGAAGATATACTGATGGCCAATAGGCACATGAAAAGATGTTCATCATCGCTGATCATGAGGGAAATGCAAATCAAAACTACACTAAGATATCACCCTACACCCATTAGAACGGCAAAAATAACCAAAACTAATAGTAACAAATGCTGGAGAGGTTGTGGAGAAAAAGGAACCCTCATACACTGCTGGTGGGAATGCAAACTGCTGCAGCCACTATGGAAAACAGTATGGAGATTCCTCAAAAAATTAAAAATAGAACTACCATACGACCCACCTATCCCACTACTGGGTATCTATCGAAAGAGCTTGAAGTCAGCAATTCCAAAAGTCTCATGCACCCCAATGTTTATTGCAGCATTATTTACAATAGCCAAGATGTGGAAGCAACCTAAGTGCCCATCAACTGATGATTGGATAAAGAAGATGTGGTATATATACACAATGGAATACTACTCAGCCATAAAAAAGAACAAAATCATCCCATTTGCAACAACATGGATGGACCTTGAGGGAATTATGTTAAGTGAAATAAGCCAGATAGAGAAGGACAATCTCTGTATGACTCCACTCATATGAGGAATTTAAACATGTGGACAAAGAGAACAGATTAGTGGCTACCAGGGGAAAGGTGGGGTGGGGGGTGGGTACAATGGGTGAAGGGGTGCACCTACAACACAACTGACAGACAATAATGTACAACTGAAATTTCACAAGATTATAACTTATCATTAACTCAATAAAAATTTTAAAAAAAGTGTGTATGGGCAGGTGAGAACCCAGAGTATACCAAAATTTTTTCTCCTGGCTAAGTGGAACGTCACGAGGGGAACTGTAGCATTTCCCAAATGTCATGCTTGAGCCCACAATACTAATTAAAGTAGAACTGGATTTGTTTGTTTTTTTAAGATTGGCACCTGAACTAACAACTGTTACCAATCTTTTCCTTTTTCTTTCTTTTCCATCTTCTCCCCAAAGTCCCCCAGCACATAGTTGTATATTCTAGTTGTGAGCACCTCTAGTTGTGCCATGTGGGACGCCGCCTCAGCGTGGCCTGATGAGTGGTGCCATGTCTGTGCCCAGGATCTGAACGGTGAAACTCTGGACCGCCAAAGCGGAGCGTGCGAACTTAACCACTCGGCCACGGGGCTGGCCCTGAACTGGATCATTAATTCAGGCTTCCAACACCTGGTGTACAGCTGAATCTCAACATCTTGAAATGATTCTCCCTTCCTTGCTAAGTGGTGTTTTTCAAAGAGTGGGTTGCAACCCATGAGTAAGAATTCACAGCTAACATTTTTAAAAAAATGAAACAGAGCAAAAAAATAGCCAAATGCATTCACATGGTAAAAATAAGTATTGTTTTGTGAAACTTTTATTTCCGTTAGGTAGATGTATTTTTTACTTTGGGTCACAGAAAAGTGTGCAAACCACTACTCTAAGTGTAAGGCATTCAGTTTTATCCACCTGACGTTTCTTCCTCCACCTTCACCTGCCTGTCCACCCCACCCCAACACACGTGTGTTCTCCTGGCGATAAGTCTTTGTCAGTGTTCATCCCGCTCTCTGATATCCATGTGCTTTGAATTCTTCAGACTCTCCTCGAGATTCACCCTTGGAAAGCCTTTGCTGATGAACCCCCCTCGACTCGGGGCCCTTCAGCACTTTATGCCTCTGACCGTGTGTGCGCTGGGAACCACGTTGTGTCCTACAGGGCCTCTTGCAGCCCTCTCACAGGCTCTAACCCACAGAGCTGCTGTGGAGCAGACGAAAGGTCTTTCAATCTGTGAGGTGCCCAAGGTCCACCTCCCTCATTCTCCACATACCTCTCCTTCCACTCACCTTCCGCTGGGCCTGCTCACTCAGGCGCTGGAAGGAATCCTCTAGCTCTTTCTTCTCTCGTTCCAGATCCACCTGGGCTTGTCTGGCCACAGACACCTGTTTGGTCACCTCTGCATTCTGTAAGGGAAGAACAGTGCCTTGAACCGGCTCATCTCAGGCTTACAGGACATCTTCCTTCTAGAACAAATGACAGCATTCAGACCGTGAGTGTCCTAGAATTGGACATAGAATCACTCTCCCACCCAGCAGGAAGTCAGAACAAAGCTGTCATCTTCAGACACTCGACTCTCAAGTATTTACAAGAATAATAAAGCTGAGGGATAACGCAAGCAGGGTGGGCATCTAGGGTGGAGCTCGAGAGATGGGAGGCAAGGGAGCCTGAAGAGCTGTGGTTCCCAAGAAATGGTGGTGACCCATTAGAAGCTGGTAGAGGCACTGGACTTGGAGAAGCCACGAGGCCTGAGCTGCTCTCTCCCCTGTTGTGCGGGCTCTGCGTGCAGCAAGGGGGCGCTCGAGGGTCCTACCTTGCGCAGCAGGTCAGCGTGGCTCTGCACCAGCTCGCTGTACTTTTCCTTGAGCTTGCTGTACCGCTGTTCATTGGCTTGGGCTTTCCCTGTATCGTCAAGGGCTAGGTGAGGAGCCCACCCTTGCTGGGACCCTCCGCCCGCCTTCCAATAAGCCTGGGTCCCTGGAAGATCCTCCTTTCTTTTCACAAATGCATACACCTTCTCCCTCAAAAAATCCTACTTCAACTCCTCTGGGAAGTGTTCTTGAATAAAGAATTCACCTGATTCAAACACTCACTGACTCGTGCCTCCTGAGCACTCACACCTGGCATTTACTGTACCAGGCCATCACTCCTCGGAGATCCACTCCCCCGGGCAGGCACCCCATCACCATCTTCTTCAGTGTTGCCCATCCCCGCACCTCACATGGGCTCTCCACTTGCGGGACTCCAATCCGCCCTCTGACTAGTGGCAAGAGTTGGCATTCCTGACAGCTCTTCCGGGCAGAGGCAAGCCTGGGGCTCGGCCGCCCAGCCTCATCCTTCATCCTGAGTCAGCTAGACTGCACTCTGGACCCCCACCCTCATGCCCACACCCCCTGGCCTCTCACTCTCGATTTCTGTCAGGCTCCGCTGAGCCTTCTCTGTGTCTTCTCGCTTCTTCTTGAGCTCGTCCAGCTCCGCCCGCAGGAACTCGCTGTCGTCGGCTGCCTGCTGCCGCAGGTGCTGCTGCTCAGCCAGCTCAGCCTCCAGCTCGCTGATGCGGCCCTTCAGCTGCAGCACGGCCCGCTGGCTCTGTGGGAGGGACGTACGTAATGCGTCCGCTCGCCGCATGCCTGGTCGGCTGTGCTGGGCAGGAGAAGCAGGTTCCACCACGTTTCCAGCACTGACCAAATACCTCAGTTTTCCTAACAAGTGCACTCCCAAGGCCTCATGAGAGTTGAGCCTTCTGGTCATACAAGCTACCCAGCCAAGAACAACAGGGGATGACAGCAGGGGAACTCTGGTCCTGTTAGAGTGGCCTGGGAGCAGCGAAGGATGAGCTGGAATGAGGAGGGAGAGGATGTCCACCTGCCCCCGTGAGTACCACCTCTGATCAGCCATGGGTCTGAGGGGCAGGCGCATTTACAGCACCAGACATGGCCAACAGCCGTTTCAGATCAAACCTTATTGCCATGTGAGAAGCACAGGCCTTTCTCACCACGGCGTCACAGCCAGTAGGTGATCATGGTGATCTCTGAGGATCACAGGGACAGGGGAGCTTGGCTTAAATGGCATTCTCAAGGCAAGTACAATGGAAATGCATTACAGTCCAGACCACGGGAAGACCAGGTGCTTCTGGCTTTGGCATTTCTACTCATGAACTCCCCCTTAAGATGCAGTCCAACAAGCATCTATGTGAAGCAAATTTAATACGAAAATCTGTCATGTAGTGGGGAAGCCAAGGAATACACTAGAGCCCGACTCGCACCTCAGTCTTCAGGTTCTCCAGCTGTGCTTTCAGCCCACTGAGCTCTCTGTACAGCTGCTCGATTAAGTGATCCCTAGGGACAGAAGAACAAGTTTGCTTCCACCTCCTTCTAAACGCGAACTGGGAGATCAGGGGAGGAAGTTAAAAGCTGGTGTTAATTTGGGGACAATTCTTTGAACTTCTGTAAATTATACCCTAAGACTATCAGTGTTACCAGATACTCATCTGACACTCACGGGTCCTCAGTTATTTCCGCCTCATTTGATTTTCCTCTGGGATTGAAGGGGCCAATATTTGAGGGTCGACCTTTATCTAAGAGCCCAAGCATCATTAAGAGTCGCTCTCTGGTTAGGTGTTGGGAGACAGATCATGGCTTAACTTAATTTCTGCACCATCTGCTTTACCCCAGCTTGGACTCACTTCTCATCCTTGTTCACACCGTTTTGACTGTTGAAATTGAAGGGATCACTGCTGAACGAGCTGCCAAAGATGTCATCAAACTTGTTGTCAAATAAATTCTGTGGTGACCGAAAAAGATTGAGAACAAAGTTAGAGATGCAGAGAATTCTGTGTGGGGGGTCAAATGAGTGACAAGGAAGAATGGACCCTTCCTTAATTCCATTCAAACCCATTTATGGTTCCTCCTAGGGACCACGGGGCAGGGTGCTCAGTCTAGGTTACTGCTTATGTTAGAAGGAGGCGGAATCTGGCTCCAGCCAATGAGACTCGGCCAGAGCCTCTCCCGTCCTCTCCTCTGCACTTGGGGGCAACAGGAAGGGCCAGGTTTCTCTCCTAAGTGGTCCTCACCTGCTGGGAGGCATCCATGTCCATGAGGTCATCCTTCTCTAAGACGGGCTCGCTGTCAGGGGACGAGGCCTCGGCTGGGATTACCACCACAGGGCTGATGTGTTCTGATAGGGCAGAGGCTCGTAGGAAGTTGGGTGGGTTCTGAAGAGGGAAGACACAACCTCAAACCATGCTTACCTGCTGGGCTTGCCAGCCTGGATGCAGCAGCTCCCAGGGTGCAGCTGGGCGCGCTTACCTCAGGCAGCTGCGGGATCTGAATGAGCCGCTTGAAGTACTGTAGGTTGCTGGAGCGGTAGAAGAGGTCTTTCAACCTAGGGATGGAGAAGGGCCTGAGGGGTGCTGGGAGACTTCACCAGCCCCATGGAGGGGACAGTGCAGCCACCTGGCTTTCCTACTGCCTGCCCAGCCCAAAGGCACAGGCTGTCAAGGAGATGGCCTCCACGGCACCGGGCTTCAATTGTGATGCTACAAAGAAAGACGGTTTACAGCCAGTCCCCACTTATCTGGTGGTGAGGAAAGAGTAATTCAAACTGCAAAACCCTTTGGATGAGTAGATAACCCAAAAACTAATTTCTGTCTCACTGTAGAATATACGGTATTGTTTGGCAGATGTATCTTCCTAGGAATGTTTGGCTTAGAGTGACATGAAAATAAATTTACTTTCCCTGAGGACAAACCAACTAACCATAGCAAAAGGGAAGGAAACTTAATTATTAAGGTAGATCTCCTTTTAATTAATTCCCTTTGTTTTAGAGCTTTGTTCTCTCTCCAATTAGACTACAGTCATGTACTGCATAACGACATTTTGGACAGCAACGGACCACATGGGTTACAGTGCTCCCACGAGATTAGTGCCCTGTAGCCTAGGAGTGTAGCAGGCTATATCAGCTAGGTTTGTTAAGAACTGTCGGGGAGGAAGAAATTTCTCTGTACCCTTCTAGGTTCTTCTGGCTGAGCTAAGAATTAAATTGACATGAGACAGATAAACAGGAGAAAAACAAACAAAAGTTTACTAACACGTACACATGGGAGAAACCCAGGAAATCTGAGTAACTTGCCAAAATATCTGAAACCCTCACCTTAAATACCATCCTCAGTTAAAGACAAAAGATGCTGGGGGTGGGAAGACTCAGGGACTTCAAAGGGAAGGAAGGCGATTCACAGGTAGGTGAAAAGGAGCGAATGTTTGGAAAGCAAGTGTTTGAGCACACAGAAACAGAAGGACACTGGCAGAAGCCCAACAAACAGGCTTTCCTAGCTTCCTCCCTGTGTACCACCTAGTTCACGCAATGCTAAGATGAGAGCTCGGTTCCTGAGGTAGGATTTTTTATCTGAATTCTTTTAGACAGTTAAGCGGGAGGTAAAAAACCTTTGAGTCTCTTTTTTTCCCCTTAAAAAAAGTCAGCCTAAAATAATCCTCATGTTAAAGAGACACATATTGGGGTGGCAAATTTTGTTCCCCTTCAGCACGGTCTATGATATTTGCACGACAACGAAATCACCTAACAATGCATTTCTCGGGAGGCATCCCCGTCATTAAGCGGTGCACAACCGTGTGAGCTTCTAGAGGGCAGAGACCGGGCAGGCAAAGAGGAGTGACTCAACAAGTACGCAGTGGAGAAAACACTCTGTCCTCAGATTTCCTGGGTTTCTCCCATGTGTACGTGTTAGTAAACACTGTGTCCTAATCTTGAATGAATATGCCAATGAAGAAACCAAAATCTTTTCTTATCCTCAAGTCTCTATTTTGAATCTAAATATGGAAGGCCAAGAAAACTGTGAACACAAGACGTATTTTCTGAGATGAAAGAGGATCATGGATCTCAGCACTCTCTCTGCCTCAGAGAATTTTCTCTAGCCCAGCCCAATGAACTAAACCCCTGGGGTCTCATGACAGCCCCTGGGACCCCAAGGTTAGGACTGTCCCTGTGACATCATTGCTGCTTTCCTGAAATTTGAGGACAGGGAGGCCTCAGAGAGTCACCATGTCTGCGTGGAAGAGAAAGTGAGGTGGCTACTCACGGGAGATGTTTCCATAAGCTAGAAAAAATCAAAGGAAATAAAATGACCTGGCCACACGTCCCCCTCTTTCTGGGCCGGAGCCAACAGTAATAGGCTTTACTGCTTTCATAAGCTACTGGAATTCAGCGTTCCAGGAAATCAGCTCCAGGGCCTGTCTCCTAGGATTCAATAAGTCATTTATTATAGAATAAACACACAACGCTTTCAAATGGAGCAAGGAAACCAGGAGGTTAGTACGACCCCAAACTTGTCCTCTGATTGCAGCTCGGGAACCAGCAAGGCAAGCCTAAGTTTGGGATTTGCCTTCCCTGTTGTCAAGGATGGAGAAAGTAACAGGAAACACAAGAGGGTCAAAATAGACGGGGCTAAGCCATGAGGCCCTCTCGCTTCCTCAGTTCTCCTGCCTCTCGGGCCACTCCTTCCCCTCTTCTTGGACACACTTAATTGAAAGACGAGCTGTATTTCTCTTCGAGTCACCTATTGTCTTTCCCAAATGCACCAGAATAATTTACCCCTCAGTCAGACAAGCTCTTCCTCTTCTAGACTAGATAGCTGGCTTATTAATTCATTCAAATATTTACTGAACACTCTATGCTTGACTGCTATGTATCAGACGCTAGGGATGTACTAACGGACAAGACAGTCAAACAGAAATGAAGTTGTGCTGAGAACGATGAAGGAGATAAACAGGGTGCTGTGATGGAGAACACAGCGGGGGTGCTGGAGCTCGAGGGATAGGAGATGGAGAAGGCCCCACTTAAGTAAGGTGGCCAGACACCGCCTTTGTGAGGAGGTGACCAAAGATGACCTGGAGCTGGCCAGGCTGGAAGAAGAGCCCAGGGAGAAGGAAGAGCAAGCGTGAAGGCCCTGATGAGGGAATGTGCTGGGTGCCTCCCAGGAGCAGGAAGAGGACCCCATGTGGCTGCAACAGTGAGCACTGGGGACGAGGTCAGAGATGGCAGGCAGGGGCCAGGTCTTGCAGGGCCTTGTAGACCATGGAGAAGAGCTTGGATTTTACTCTCAGTGTAATCAGAAGACAGTAAAAGGTTCTGAGCATGGATTTATGTTTTCACAAGGCTCTTCTAACTGCTGGGTGAGGACAGGATGGTAGGAGGCAGGAGTGGAAGCCCCAGGTATCCTGTCAATGTTAGAGGGTCCTGTCATGCAGCAATGGGAGCTGAAGAGATGGAGAGATGGGCGGAGCCAAGATATATTTGTAGAGCATCAACTGAACCTAGTAATGGATGGACATGCGGACGACGAACATGCTGAGCTCCAGACCTCTGGCCTAAGTGGATGGTGAGGGTATTTATTGAGAGAGAAAAGACGGGAGAAAAAGGTTTAAATTTGGGGTAGAGATGTCAAATGATAATCGAGTACGTGAGACTGGAATTCAGAGGTGAGGTTCGGCTAAAGATACATATTTGGTAGTTGTATACATATTTGGCATGCATATAGTATGAGACCAAGAGAAATTATGGAGAAGAAAAAGCAAAGAGATGAGGCCAGCCCAGTGGCGTAGTAGTTAAGTTCACACACTCTGCTGTGGTGGCCTGGGGTTTGAGGGTTCAGATCCTGGGTGCAGACCTACACACTGCTCATCAAACCATACTGTGGTAGCATCCTATATACAAAATAGAGGAAGACTGGCACAGATGTTAGCTCAGGGCCAATCTTCCTCACAAAAAACAAAAAAAGGAAAGAAAAGAAAAAAAAAACAAAGAGGATGAAACCCTGGGCATAGGGCAGGCGATAAATGAATACATGAAATCTCCTTCTTCTATGTGCTTCTATGGGATCTATTCGAGAACTGACAGCCTCCTCAGCCCCTGGAAGGTTTGCCAGCATCATAGTTATCTTCCTTCACTTTATTGCCTTTTTAAGTGCAGATACCCTCATCCCTGCATTATTTTAAAGCAAGAGCTGTTGCATGGATTAGCTGATTATAGAGCACTTTTTGGTTCGCCTTCATTTCTAACTTAAGCCACTTACTTTGTGAACTGCTCCATGAAGCGGTCCCGGTGGCCTTGCAGGGTGTCAGCTGGGAGACCTGAAATAAAGTGGAAAGGAATGAGAGGGAGAGGAGGACCAGAGGGCAGACAAGCCACAGCAGGGCTCCGGAGGGAGGGGACCACCCTTCCTGGGGCTTGTGGCCAGCCCTGTGGGGGGACACTGCTGGCCTAGAGCTGCCCCAGGGCTGGTAACCACGGGGGCCCAGCAGGACAAGCAGGGAGTCTGGGGGCGCCTATCCCTCTAATCCTTCCCTCTCCCCGAGTTTGCTCCCAGAGCGCGACCCATTCTGGGCACAGTGGGCTGGGCCTGTGTTCCTGACCACAGAAGCAGCAGCAGTAGCCTGACCAAGCAGCGGGATGGACGACGGCGGCCCTGGCGGTGTGGTTCTCTCCCAGGGGTGCGTGCACTGGGGGGGCCCAGGGTGGACGTTAGTCTGGAAGAGATCCACAGAGCCTGCCCGGGAGGATGCCTGGCAGAAGGCAAAGACTAAGGACTACGACTCGGGGATCCAGGTCCACTGCCCGCCAGATGGGCAGTGGCCTCTTAGGGCCAGCCTCCTCCCCGACAGAGTGGGGTGTCTGAGGTCTTTTCACCTCCCAGATTGTGTGATTCTGTGTATCTCAGCTACAGATCACAACTCAGCGATCTTTTTATTTTATTTATTTATTTGAGGAAGATTAGCCCTGAGCTAACTAACATCTGCCGCCAGTCCTCCTCTTTTTGCTGAAGAACACTGGCCCTGAGCTAACATCCGTGCCCGTCTTCCTCTACTTTATACATGGGACGCCTACCACAGCATGGCTTGACAAGCAGTGCATAGGTCTATACCCAGGATCCAAACCAGTGAACCCAGGGCCGCCAAAGCAGAACGTGCAAACTTAACCGCTGCACCACCAGGCCGGCCCCTGATCTTTTTATTTTTTAAATTTAAGTTTTAGTAATTTTTGAATATTCACTTGGTATAAAGAAGGAGGACACATATACAGTGTGATAATTCAAAATGGTAAAAGTGTACAGTGGATGACAATGGCACTTTACGTCAGCGATCTTTCTCTCAAGAGCCCTTAACCCCAGTTCAATCACGAGAAAAACATCGGACGAACTCAAATTCTACAAATATCTGATCAGGCCCCTCAAAACTGTCAAAGTCCTCAGAAACGAGGAAAGTTCAAGAAACTGTCACAGCCAAGAGGAGCTAAGGAGACATGACGACTGAATGTAGCCTGGTTCCTGGATGCATCCGGGGACAGAAAAAGGACACTGCGTACAAACTGTGGAAATCTGAATAAAGTATGGACTTCTATACTTTAATAATAGCATATCAAAACTGGTTCATTAACGGGGCTGGCCCCGTGGCCGAGTGGTTAAGTTCGCGCGCTCCGCTGCAGGCGGCCCAGTGTTTCGTTGGTTCGAATCCTGGGCGCGGACATGGCACTGCTCATCAAACCACGCTGAGGCAGCGTCCCACATGCCACAACTAGAAGGACCCACAACAAAGAATATACAACTATGTACCAGGGGGCTTTGGGGAGAAAAAGGAAAAAAATAAAATCTTTAAAACAAACAAACAAACAAAAAACTGGTTCATTAGTTGTGACAAAATTATCATATTAATGTAAGATGTTAACAATAGGGGAAACTGGGTTCAGGGATATATGGGAACTCTCTGAACTCTTTATAACTTTTCTGTAGATCAAAAACTATTCTAAAATACAATGTTTTTTTAGAAGAGTACATACTGTGTGCAGTGTCCCCCCCACTTTTCCCCCAGGCACACAGTCGCCCCCGCAGAGGCAATCTGTGCAGGTCTTGTGAATAATTACTTGTCTCTTCTGCTAACTCGCCACCTCATAAGGAAGTGGAAATGTTCCAGCGGGCCACTGGGTTCCACGGCACCTCAGAAACAATTAGAGGTTCGTCTATTCAGAGCTTCTGAGCGACCGCCGCCTTCTTCTCTTGGGCTTGAGTCCAATCTCTGCTCCCTTCAAGCATGCCCACTGCTCCAGAGCCTTTCTAACCTTCGAACGTCGAATTCCAGCCTCCCTTCCACGAAGCCCTCCTGGATTAATCAGAGGAATGCTGCTTCCCCCGGCCTGACTAAAGAACCAGATCTACTGCTTTTCAGGGACCACAGTTCTAGAGCGTCCCTTGTCCTAGACTTCTAAGATAAAAACTTGCCAGCATCCATTCATGCTTGGATCTCTCTTGGTTTTCCGTCATCCACATACTTTGCACGTATATGTCCTTCATGGTGGCCACCTCAGAGTGTGGCCCCGGGACCACTCCCATCAGATTCATCTAGGAAACGGTTTAATAATGCAGACCGTGAACCCGCCAGATCCACTAACAGGGACCCTGCAGGACCCACACACACCATTTCAAACAACAAGCACACGAAAGTATGAGAAGTTCTGCAAGACCAGTAGTTCCCAAACTATGCTGTGCGAAGCGTCCCAGGGGTCTGTGGCTAGGTAAGCGATGGCCCTCCATTTGCCTGAGCAGCTGTTTGATATTTTATATTTCTCCAGAAAATTCCATTTGTACAAAGAGACTGTGATGATGAACGCTTTAGAAACCACTGCCTTTGCTCCTGTGGTCTAGGCAATGCTGTGCTTCCTAGAATACGTGACACGCATGTCTGGAGATGAGGTAAAGCCAGCGGTGGAGGGAGGGGACCCTGGGACACCACTATGGCAAGCCAGGTGCTCACTGGGCACCCCCAAGCTGATGCCCTGCTCTTAAGATGGTCAGGAGCTCCAGGGCCTTCGAGAGAGAGCCCTGAGGGGAGCTGTATTTTTCCAGGGGCAGCCTCAGGCTGTGACCCTCCTTCTGGCCAGAAGCTCAAGGAGACGACCCGGCGCAGGGTACTCACAGGAGTGGAGTTTGAAGAGCAGCTTGACGGTGTAATCATAGAGGTGGCTGCAATCCAGTATGACCTGGATCAGCGGGGCAAGGCGGCACTGCCCAGCTGTCGTCACCGACACGGAGCGGGACATGTCCAGGGAGTTGAACACTGGGGAATAAAAGGCGGAGAGAGGTCGTGGGGCTAGGAATTAAGGTGAGCGTCTTAGGGGGGCAGGAGGCAGGGGTCTACCGTCCATCGAGGGCCTATTCCATGCACACACGGTCTCACGGAATGCATTTAACCCTCACGACACTCCTCCAGGACAAGTAAAGGTGTCCCTGCCCCACAGGTGAGGAGACTGAAGGGAAGTGACCTGAAGGTGGTCGCAGAGCCACGACGTGGTGTTGCTGAGAGGTGGTGGGCTAAAGGACAGAGCCCATATGGTCAGCAGTGGCTAGACCAGGAGCCTGCGCTCCTGATGACCAAGAGGCCCCATGCGTCCTGGACGAGTGAACCCCACTCCACCCTGTGCCCAGCCCCACGGAAGCCCAGACAGAAGGACTCACTCACAACTGGAGGAGTGCCTAGAATGAGGAGGACCCTTCCGTCCTGTCTTTGAGGAACTTCGCGGTCCCTGCTCCCAGTGTGGTCAGAAAGACAGAACGCACCATCTTTCAGAGAGTCTGATTTAATGCGGAGACGGGCTCTTGTTCAAGGGAAGCCCTCCGTTCTATGGGAATCCCAATTTCAGGGTCGAAGGGGCTGCTGAGAGAGCTAATCCAGCCCCGCTCCCTCGCATGAACTCAGTCTGATGGTAACCCGGACCCCGAGAAGCACGCCATCCGGTGCCGCAGTAGTTAACATGTGGGGAAAATAGCGCAGATTGGTCGGAACACGAAGAAGGGAGTAAGTCAGCCTCGGCTTCCTGCTGGCCTGCCACAGGGTTGCTGGGACACCAGAAGGGGGGATGTACCGGAGCCCTGGGTGGACAACTGGAGAGCCTGCGAGGGCCCAGGCAAGGGGCTGGGAGGAGGAGGAGCCATCAAGGTCAAAGGCTGACGGAGGGTCTTGGGGTGGCTGGCCAACAGAAGGCGTGCCGTGCACTCCCAGAGCGCCAGAGACCCCCTCGCAATACCCTCTGCGCCGTGCGCCCTGCTCCGAAACCAAGCAGCTAGACGCCTGGCCATGGACCCTCGGCGCACCACTGGCCAGGGCCGATTTCCTGCCTGCAGTGGCTGCCCACCGCCTCTGGGGACTCTGCACGTGGCTGGCAACTTCCCGAGGTCCCTCAGTGAGTGGGACCGCCCCGGAGCAAAGAACAGAGCTGCTGCGCTTGGCCTTCCTTGACGGCACTAATCCCTGCTAACTGGCTTAGTCTGGCAACTGGAAAAAAATCCCAAACTGTTCTAATTAAAAGGCAGCTTTTCTTCTTGACACAAATTAAAAGCAGCTGTCACTGCAAGGCGGCCATCCCCAAGTCTACCGGCTTCGTCAGGCTCCACTCTGGCAAGCAATCACAGAGCGCTCCATCTCCCGGCCTGCCTGCTGCCTTCTAGGAATGCCCCTTGGCATCTGGCAACTTCAGTGCAGTGTGACCGTGGACAAGTTACTTAACCTCTCTGTGCCTGCAGATGCTTTTCGGTAAAACACAGATGGTTCTAATAGCACATAAGGGTCTTGTAAGAACTGAATGAGAATGTCGTGTACAGTGCATAGCATTGTGCAGTGGTTCTCAACTTTGGCTTTGAGAGTGATTAGAATCACCTGGGGGAATTTAAAAACTACCGTCTGCCTGCAACTCCCCCACCCCCCATTGTTTTATTTGGTCTAGGGTAGGGCTGGCACACTGGCAGTTTTCAAAGTCCCTCAGGTGATTATAATATGCAGCCAGGGTTGAAAAGTCTATTTCCTAGCTCACTGGTTCTCAAACGTTAGCATGCACCAGAATCACCCAGGAGCACTGTCTAAGAGAATTCTCAGACGACGGAAGTTTCTATACCGGCAGTCCAATATGCTAGTCCATGTGGCTACTGAGTGCCTGAAACATGGCAAGTGCAACTGAGGATCTGACTTCCCATTGTTATTTAATTGTAATTAATTTAAATTGTCACATGTGGCTAGTGGCTACCATATTAAACAGTGCAGACTTGGGGCGCTTATTAAAACACCACGTGGCTGGGCCCTACCTCCAGAGAGTCTGATTCAGTAGGTCTGGGGTGGGAACTGAGAATTTGCATTTCTAAGCATCCGCATTTCAAGTTCTCGGGTGATGCTGATGCTGCTGGTCCGGGGGCCACACTTTGAGAACCACGGCAAGTGCTCAGAAGAAAGGTTCACTATGATTTGCCCACGTCTCCCACAGCTGAAACCAGCGGCGCCCTGCCGGGATACTGGCTGCAACCTTGCAGGGTCACAGACTGGGACTCAGAAGCGAGAGAGACTTCTTCCAACGCCAGTTCCCTTGATTTTTGTGGCATGCGGTAGGTGACTGGGGGGACAGGCAGGGGAGTTGGGGAGACGTGTAGCAGAGGGCTCTTGATTCCAAATCAATGCTCGCCCAGGAACGAGACAGCCACCACCATTTAACCACGGAGGGGTTTGGGCAAAGACTTGGGGTAGCTCTCCTCTAGAAAACCCTAAGCAGCTAATTGACCCACATCATCCCACATCACTCAGCTGGATGTTGAGACCATTTTACAAACCCTGTCCACCTCTTGTTTCTCCATTGCTGCTTATCTGAAAGGAAGCTTGCTTGAATTTTACTGTTGAGCATTGCTCTAAACCAGGCACTGGGCAAGAGCAAGGAGAATTCAAAGAAGAACAGGGCATGGTTCCTGCTTCGGAGGAGGAGCTCCGCGTCTAGTGGTAACAATAGCAGTGAATCAATGTGTATCATCAAGTCATCAATGTGTATCAGCGCAGCCAGGTATCATGGGATGTGGGAGCCAAAAGGACGGCTGAGCTGGCCACTGGGGCAGGGCACTCACGGGCAGTGCATATGCCTTCTCGCGGCCTCCTCAAGTCCTGTCGGGTGTTAGCACATCTCTGCTCATTCCATGCCAACAGTCTGTCAGGGCTGCAAGGGACCCCGCAGAGGCCGAAACATCTGACTTGCTTCCCACCCACTGTGGCATCAGCAGGCAGGCTCCGAGAAAGAGGCCAGAGCTGCTGACAGAGAGCTCGGGTCAGTGGAATGGCAACTTCTGACTGGACTCTCCCAAGCATGATAATTTCCAGAATATTACTCAGACCTGCATTCAAATCCAGCACATTCCAAGCTGAATGTCAACAAATTCTGAATTATCCACACAGGCCCTTCCCACCCAGAGCTAAATAACTGAAAGTTAGCCACACAACGTGCAGTTGTTTGCCTACTCTTACGCAAATGTTTCCAATGCATTAAAACCAAAAAATGTGTCTACACTGTTTCTCCTAGCTGGCTGGGAATGCCTCAGGGCAGGGGCTGTATTTTGAGTTTTGTTTTTACTTCTCTACTGACTTTTGTATAAGATTCTACTCAAATAGGTTGCTAACAGGCCAAATACCTTCTTATTTCTCCCACAAACCACGGTTTCTATTTCTGGTGTTTCTCTGACCACATCCTGCGTGGAATTGACGGGTCAACTATGAAGGAATGTGCTGTGCAGTCACAGGCCTGGTACGGCACTGGATCATAACAGGCCACTTGTGAGTATCTGCCGCACAGATGAACATGCGGAAGGAAGGTGAATTTGGGGTGAGAGCCTCTGTCCTTCCTGAGGGAATCGAAGCCCCAAGAGTGGGCCCTGCCTCTCCACACGCGGAGCAGATGGCCCAGCTTGTGCACGAATCCTTGCAGTGTGGGACGTACTCTTTCATCGTGCTGGATGCTTGTCGTGGGACATCTTGAATCTAAGAAAACGGACTCTTCTGTTCCCCGGGAAAGAAGGGGAGCCATGCGGGGCGCGGTTGGGAAGAGAGGGCACCGGAGAAAAGGGAACTTGCCAGGGAAGCGTCAGGGGCTGACATCCTGGAGGCACCGGAACTCTCAGGAGAAGGGACCTGGAAGAGCGGGCCACTCCCCCGCGAGCAGAACAGGACTTTGTGGGCTTCTCGGGCAGACTTGGGGAACAAGCCAACTCGACCAGTTTTCTCTCCCGGCTGCTGACCAAACAGCAGACAGGACCCTTGCTCCTGAGCAGAAATCCACCCTGGGTGCCAACCCAGCTGAGTAGCAGTCAGGGTGGGTCAAACAACCGGCCACAGTCTGAGGGCTGTCAAAGAGGTTGGACCTGTCTTTGGGCTCTGGGGAGGCCCGCGGGGGAGAGTGGTCCTTCTGCTCAGCTATGAAGTCACCGACTCTGAAAATGCCCATGATCTTCAGCCCGTCCCTGCACGAGGGATGGAGAGAGCAGCGACAGCTGTGCTTATCTCCCTTCTCCTGGCCCTGTGCTGCACAGCTTGTAGGGAGAGGGGTCTAGGCCGGCTGGTCCAAGCAGGGAACGAGGCTGGGAAGGAGGCAGCTCCCAGGAGGGCCTGGGCCAGGTGGGAGGGAGAGACTCACCAGTTTGGAAGAGGTTAAGTTCGCACTCCAGGTAGTCGAACATCTCCACTGTTAGCTGGAAACTGGGCCCAAGAGGAAAGAGGGCTTAAATGCCACCGCCCGAGGCCAGCGCTCCACCTGGCCCTTCCCCTACGTTCCGTGCTGCTGCTTCCGCCCCCAGTGCACATATGAGTGCACGCACACACACCAGCTCCAATTATTTGCTCCCACCTCAGTGAAGATTAAGGCCATTTGAAGATCCAGCAGGGCAAATTCAACAGTGACAGTGGCAATGGGAGAGGGCCACGCTGGATTGGGAGGGCAGAAGGTAACACAGAGAAGAGAGCCCTGGGGTGCGAGACAGCCTGGAAGGGTTCTGGATGAGGCCCCAGCAGCAAGCGGTCCCAAGGCCAACTCACCCAGGGACTTTAATCCCTACCCCAGCCACTGCCCCTGCCATCAGGCCCTCTGTGACCCTAACTGGAAGTGACAGCATCCACCAAAGCTTTCTTGCCCACTGGGTCCAAAGCATGAGGATGGCCACTCACAAGTTGTTAACGTCACTCTCTCCAGCCTCATCCAGCTGCCGGTCACTCATCTGAAGGTTGCCCGGGAACCTGGGATTCTGGAAGGGAGGCAGAGGAAGGAGGTCAGAACACAGCACAAGAGCTCATGGCCTGACTAAGCTGACGCCCAGCAAGCTGTCTACACTGAGCTCGGGCAGCAGCAGGCTGGATTCTGCTTATACGGCATGTACTCATATGGCGCCCACACACACAGACCCCTTGAATGGCTCACAGCAAAGAACATCCATTCCCCGTCACTGGAGCTGAAGGCTCCACCCCATCCCTGCGAGCCAGGGGACAGTCCTCCCTAACACTCTGTGCCCCAGAATGTTCTTCCAAAGATGCTCTCCCATGGTGCAGCGACGCCGAGCCGGTGAGAACAGTCCGCCCCCAGCCATCCACAAGGCGCAGGCATTTGTTCATCCCCAGAACATTCTGAATCCTACCCAGGCTTCCCACTGTCCTTTGGCCATTTCCCAAAGCTGCTGTTGTGAGTTCAGGAAGGCAAACCCACTCTTATATTAGCTTTAGCAAAACATAATTGGTAAAATAAGCTGGAAGGTGGGGAAATATTACATCCTGTACCCCCAAAGTCAGGAGAAATTAGTTTGTCTCATCAACCTTGTTGAGCTTCTGGATCATTCCCTCTTCCTCAGTGTGGGCTGTCTGGAGTGGATGGGGCACAGGGCAAAGGCTCAGGTGGAGATGGGCACAGAGCGATGGGCAGCCAGTCCGCTGGGGGTTCTAGATTTCAGTGTGAATACTTTAGACTCTGAAGACAGAAATGGTCCACTCCAGCAGCTTACCTTCTGGCTTAACAGCCAGCCCTCCGTCCTTGAGGTCCTCTCCTGCCCTCGGACCCCACACTCCTGCTCCTCTGTCTCAGAGCCGGCCAGTTCCTTTATCGCCTCCTTCTGGCCATATTTACTTCCTCGCTCGGTCTGGACATTACGGTCCCCTCCTCCCATGCCCTCGCTGTTCCTGAAGCCTGTCCTTCCACCACAATGCTGTTAAACCTGGTGGGCCTGGATCTTCGTCACATGCTGTGTGGCTAGGACCACCTGCCAATTTCCCTGGAGAAGGACTCAGAACCGGCGTCACTATGAAATCATGCTCTCTAGCGTTAGTGCCCCGTAACTTGCTACTGTCTCGACCAATTCTCCTTTCTGTCAACTTCTGTCCCACTCTCGCACCTGGGGCCCAGCTCCCAGCACCTGCCTCTCTTCTTACATCATGCAGGAACTCCCTCAGCATCCTGCTTCCCACTCCCTTCCCCACTTCAAAAGTACCCAGCTATCCTTCCACCCCTCCAGCTTCAAGAGAGAAGGGCCGCTTCTTTCTTGACTCAGGATCAGCCTCTCCTTGTGTGCTCTTCAATCTCATCCAGGTTCTGGTTCATTCTGTCACGCATCTAACAACTTCTGATTGAGCGCCTGCTCCGGGCTAGATGCTGGGCCGCACACGGGACACAAGGAGACACGTGCGCCTGTTGTCTGTCCTCTTGGAGTCCAAAGTCCAGAGCGCCCAGAGCCCCACTCTGCCCCGCTGTGCTCCTGCCCCTCTTCCTGTCGCCCAAGCTTTCCCGCGGCCCCACATCTCCCTCCATCTATCACCCCCTCTCCTCCCTTTCCTGCCAGTCTCCAGGGGCTTTCACAGACAGCTGTCCTAGCTCTGGTTCTCACCATCTTCCACGCTGACAGCCTGGCTCTCCCCAAGTCACCCTGGACACTGACACTAGGTGGTCTCACGCGGCTGCCCTGTCACCTGCTGCTCTCCACTCTGCTCTTCGTACTACTGTGGATCTACTGCTGGTTGCACATGAACGCCAAATGGTTGTGGGGCTCACGCCCTAAGCCTCCAGCCGATTCCTCTGCCGGGAACGCCCACCGTTCTGTTCTTCACTGGCCCCCTCCTCGCTATCTACTACGTGGCAGCCTGGGGTGTGGGGAGGGGCGAGCATATTCTGCAGGCGGGAGGCAGGGATGTGAAGTGTGGGGCCATGAGGAGGACCGCGGCCGACTCTATCTTCCAGCGACGGCTAGTGCAACACATCCAGTCAACACGCTCTCTTCAAAATGCGACTCTGACATACCTCCCTCCCACTGTAGGGACCTCTGTCACTGCCTCAGTCAATACAGGACAGTGAAGGGACGCTTTAGGACTTCTGAGGCTAGGTCATAAAAATGCCACGCACTCTACCTTGTTCTCTTGCGTATGCACCAGGCTGTGAGGAAGCCCTGACAAGCCCTGAGACTTCATGAAGAGAGAGATGCCAGGCCGGCCGCAACTGTTCCAGCTCCAGCCAGCATCTGCCTCAAGCGCATGAGAGAGCTCTGGCCAAAGCTGCCCAGCCAAGCCCTTCTCGAATGCCTGACCCACAGAAAGTGCACGAGATAATAAAGGATTGTTGTTTTAAGCCACTAAGTTTTGGGGTCACGTGTTACTCAGCACAGAGAACTGTAACACTCGAAGACCGAGCTGGGGTGTCACTGCCTCCGAGAGGCCGACCGGGTGGTCTGAGTCGGAGCTAGACGGCCCCTTACACGCTTTGTACCACCTTCCGCTTCTCTCAATTCCAGCGCTCAGTGTGCGTGTCTATCTTCTCTGCCTCCACCACCTCTCTCCCAACCAGACGTCGACTCCCGAAGGCAGGGGCGGAGTCTACTCTCTTTTCTCTCTTCAGAGCCTAACCTAACTCTGGCGCAGGGCAGGCACTCAACAATATGCGCGGGGAGGGAGGGGTGGCCACTGAGCACAGAACAGGCTTTATTGTCATACAGGCACCTCACCACTGAGGAGCTGCGTGGCTTAGGCAAGGGCCTTGACCACGCACACTCCAGATTTCATTGTCTTAGGCTATAATAATACCTACTTTATAGAGTTGCTGTGAGAATGAAATGATGTAGAGGAAAGATTTTACAGACTAGGATCGCTTTAATGAATCAAAACTACCTTCCAAGCACAGAAAAGACACTAAATTACGCTATTTCTCCTTAAATCTCCTCCCTTCTCCCTTTCCACTGCTAGCTCCCTAATCAGGCTGTTCCCTCCCACCTGGCATGCCATTCTCTCCCACCACCTTTTCACACCACACCCATCCTTCAAGGCCCACCTTGAGCACCCCTCCCTCATCCTGCCCGTTGGGACACCATAACCTTCCATCATTTCAGAGCGTCTCCGGCCCCCGTCTGCAGGTACCCACAGCTGTTCTGCACGATTACAAGGCCACTGCAAGGACGTAAGCCTCTTCCCCAACGAATCCGCAAACTCCTGAAGAGCAGACTCTTTCACTTATTCCTATAAGCCACTTGGGACCCAGCACACAGTTTTACATACGTTAGGTGGCTAAAAAATACTGACTAAAGTCATAAATTGATAAAAGAAGGTTCTATGTGGAAACTCACTATATAAATGGAAGGAATTGTTTTTATTAACAGTAAAGGCAGGGCTTCTAAAACATTTTCATAAGGCAACCTAGTGGATAGGGTTCCTCTATTTGCAAAATCGGGAACGAAAGGTGCAGAGACATGGGTCCAAATGCCATTCCCTCGTCACACCCCGGGGCCCAACTGTGGTTGCCTGATAAAATGCGTTCCCCTCACACAGCTGGGATGTGGTGCAAAGACTCCCTGAGGAACCCAGGCTATCTTATTCCCAGAAAGACCTGATAATTAAGCCCACAGACGGGCAGGGGCTGAGGAGGAGGAGCCGGCGGCGGCCGCGGGGTCGCTGGCAGACTCACTTTGGTGTGGTACTCCATCTTCGTTCTCAGCAGTTTGAGGTAGATGCTGCAAAGCTGTCCATACCCCTCACTCAGGTGGCCCTTTCAGGAAGCAGAAAGAAAGGAGGGGTCAACATCAAGGACCTTCAAGTTGAAAGATGTACAGCGAGGACTTCTTTTTTTAAAGAATGTATTTTTTTTCTGATTACGGAAATCACAAATGTCCGTTGTTGAAAATTTGGAAAATATAGAAAAGTACATAGACAAACAAATCATCCTTAATCTAACCACCAGATAGAATCATGGCTAACATTTTAGGGTATAAAATGTTATTTTATTCTGTTTTTTTCAATTCAAATAGACTTTATTTTCTAGAGCTGTTTTAGGTTCACAGCAAAATTGAGCAGAAAGTACAGACAGCTCCCATATACGCCCTCCCCCAGCCCTCACGACCTCCCCCACTGTCAACATCTGGCACGTTTGTTAGAACTGATGAACACACACTGACACGTGATTATCATCCAAAGTCAAGTTTACGTGTGGTTCGCTCTGGTGTCGTACAATCTATGGCTTTTGACAGGTGTATAATGACATGTATCTACCATTACAGTATCACACAGAGTAGTTTCACTGCCCTAAAAATCCTCTGTGCTCCACCTTCATTTTAAAATAGAAAATGGAATTCATTGTTTTTTACTTAATATAATGCAAAT